CGAGCCCGAGAGAAGATTTTGAGCCATTGGATTCGTCACCCCCCATGTATCAAGAGGATCAAGTTCCTCGTTCGCTGGAAGGAGCGTACGCCAACTGAAGATAGTTGGGTGCCCCTGGCCAACATTGAAAACCACCCTGCCCTGCAAGTGTACCTGAGGAGCCGGGGATTCCGCGACATACATGCACTCGTGTAGCGGAGGGGGCTTCTTGAGGGGGGGGGGGGGGGGGGGGGGGGGGGGGGGGGGGGTAAGGAATTTTTCGACATTCCTTACTACGTTCTTCAACATCGCGTACAGAAGCAGCCGTTGTTTGCCCGTTACTGCTAGTGGGGCTTCGCCAACTTTCGCGCGCACTGTTTTGCCAAACCATGCACCGCTGGCCTGGCCGAGTCAGCCTACGCTTTGTGACTAGCCCGGACCTCGATGCCAGCCCAGCAATAGCTAGCTCGCACACATCGCGCAACCATTTGCATGTTCGCACAAAAGAATTCACTCAATGCCTTCACTCATTCTTTGTACTCGTTTGACACCTAGTGCAATCCTCGCTATCTCGTTCCATTGCACCCGTAACAGAAACCAAAAAATGTGCCTATCTCGCAAATCAAACCCCCTTTGTAGTTGCTCCCACCTTCCCCCAGGCAATAGTGTCCCAACTACCTTCTGCCTTCTTGCTCCCCTCTCGCGGGTTGCTACCACGGTCCCTTGCCCTTCTCTCGCCACTCCCATCCTTCTCTCTCCTCGTCCATTGCTCCTGTAATCGCATGCCTCACTCACTCACGCCCCTCCCTCGCGTCGCTCCCTAAATCGCACGCTTCGGTCGCTCCCGTCGCTCCCTACCATCGCTCCCTCCAAAAGCTCCCCCCTCCATCACTCCTCTCTCGACGATCCCGTCCTCCCTCTCCTTTCGCGTTGCTCTTGTCCTCCCTCCTCCCTGCACATCGCTCCCTTTCTAGCCCGCTCCGACGCTTCCGTCGCTTCCTTTCTCGTCGCCCACTGCTCCCTCCGACGCACGCATTCCTCTCTCTCGTCGCTCTTGTCGTCACATGCCCCCATCGTCGTTCTCTCTGATCGCAAGCAGCACCGTCGCTCCCTCACCAATCGTCCGTCGATGTGTCGCTTGTTCACTGGTTGGTTCCTAGTTTCCGAGGCTCTTGGGGACACCATAACTCTGTCACTCTTCACACCTCGTCCCTCCGGCCCCCGTCGCTCCCTTACTACCTTGCTCCCCTCTCCTATTTCTCCTGCACACCTGAGCCTGCTCTTCTCCGTCGCTGTGCTCCATTCCTTTAGCTCAGCTTCGTTGGAGTCTATACTACTCGTTACATGTGCTGAAACACGTGGCCATTCCTCTCCTGACTTTGTGTATTCATACTGTATGACATGGCAGTGTACCGTTAGATTTTATAACACACAGATCTTCAGGGAACAGAAGACTGAATCAAATCGGGGAAAAAAAAAAAATCAGAAATACGATCCTAGTATGTCTGATCAATCACACATGAGTTTTACAAATGTCCGATTCATAAGATATAGAAACGGGGCGTCTGATGGATCAGGTGGGTCCATATCCTAGAGAGGACCCTGAGCCGTCCCCTCCCCCCCACTCCCCTTTTAAGTGCCCCCCTCTAGCGCATACCCTCCCTCCCCCCCCCCCCCCCCCCCTTCCCACCAAATCTCCTCTCTAGCGCCCCGGCGCGGGCCCGTCACGGCCATGTCGTGGCCCCGTCGTCGCCCCAACGATGCCTTGCCACCGCCCTATCGCGACCCTGTCGTGACCCCAACATGGCCTCGACGTGATCCCGCAATTGTAACCCCATGGCGGCACCATCACGGCCCTACCGTCATCGCCCCCCGTCGCCACCTCGCCGCGACCCATACAACCACTCTGATACAGCCCTGGCGCGGCCCTGTCGGCTGCCCTGTCGCGGTCCTGCTGCCCACCACCGCGCCTGCTGTTGCTTTACGCCGCCATGCCTCCAGCTACTGCCCCCCCGCTGCGCCTGCTGCTGCTCGACGCCGCCACGCCTGCAGTCGCAGCTCTGCCATAGCCTTGCCACGCCTGCGTTGTTGCGCCGCCAGCGATGCCGCCTGTTGTCTGCCTGCCTGCCTCTGACTGTCTCCTCCTCTACCTATGGCTGTCCCTTCTCATCCGGTGCAGCTGTGCCCTTGCTCACACCTGTCATGGCGTCTGAGTTCGTACTACGGCTGATGGAGAGGTGTGTGCTGTCGACCTAGACGCATGGCTGCTCGAAATCAAGCTCCACTTTTGGAGCCAACGCCGGGACGACGTCTCCCTTTGTGCCCACGTGTTCAGTGGGATACCTGCCCCCCAGCATCCTGCTGCTCTTGAAACTAAGCCTACGTCGGAGGAGCGGGAGGCTCAGACCGCGGTCTCATGTTGGGACACCATCGAAGTCTTTCCCCCATCACAACCTTTCCGATGTTGATGGTGTCCAGGTGGGGCAGGTCCCCAGTATGGACACCCAACCTAGTCTTGGCCGGCGATAGAGGTCGCCCGGATCACATGACAGGTGTCCAGCCAAATCCACTTCGCCCCCAATAGAATCCTCCTGCCAAATCGCACGATGAAGGTGCGATAAATCTCGTCATGCAATAACCTAACGGCCATGCCTGATGGTTGCGCCAATCAAGATTACCACTTAACCAGACTTTCCAGCAGCACAACTCCCCAAACCACCAATCGATGAAGTCGCACATTGACGTGCATGCAGAGAAATGCGACTGTGGCCGGTTGCACTTGAGTCGGACCGCGTAGGCAAACATTGAAATGTGAATTAATTCCAAAATCAACATTTCAAGCCGCGTGGGAAGACATTGGATGGTGTCCCAACTTGAGATTGCGGCCTCATTGCGTAGCACGACTTATATACTCGGTTACTGTTAGTCGCCTTACACAATCGGCCGAGCGGGGGCACTATCGTCAGGTCGATATGCGAAGACGTGTTTGATGCTATTACTGGTCGCTAGTCCACTCCCTCCTCTGCTGCTTCCACATACCCTTCTCCCTTGATCTCCCTTATTTCTCCCTATTGCTATTCTAACTACTTGCTTGCACTCATTTGATGCTAGCTTCCATGATCCCTGCATCACTGATGACCTTGCTAAGCACACCCCCCTATGTATGCCACCCTGCACTTCCTAACGACCCGCCTCCCCAACTGCCTCACCCTGCTCACGACGCACTCCTCGCCATGCGCCCCATAATTTCATTATCGATTTCTTTGAAACTAGTCTCACAGAGATCGAGTCCTGGCTTCGCACCATCGCATCCACCTATGGTGCGGTGGTCCGCGTGCTCCACCCCAATTCCCTACCCAGTTGCCTCTGCTGCTGTTGTTGGGCCTACTGCTACAGCGGAGATCGTAGTCGTATCTACCCCCACTGGTAAGCGGAAACAACACAGGAGTGGTCGTGGTCACGGAAGAGATGGAGGTGTTGATATTCCAAGGGGTGCACATACGTCTGAGGACACTTCTGTTCTGGTGGGTCTCGTTAGTGCTAGTGTCGGGATGAGTGTGATGGTGACTCGGCAGTAGCAGCAACTCCAGCAGTGGACCTCCCAATGGCAGTAGGGACCTGCTGGCCCGGGGAGCGGTGACTGCGGCAGCAGGTCTGACAGGTGGACGTCGCGTGACCCCCCCCCCCCTTCGGACCTTGCGAGTACCGTACCAAATGCAGTCTGGTCCACTACGCGGCACAGTCTGCAGGCATACCGGTCTCCCCACTGTGCGCTGCTTCCGCCGGCTCGACAACCTCTTCCGCACCCACTTTCGGCCTATGGCGTACTTCCGGGGCTGGTCTTCGCTGTTACACAATGGTTTGCCTGCGCTTGATATGGACATGTCTCAGATAGGATCTACGTTGTTTGCTATGCATGCTGATGTCTCTAGTGTTGCTGGATTTTATTAGAGGTATGTGTCTCAACTAGGTTTTCTTGCTGTGTATAATGTAGGGTCCACTGCTACTTCCTACCTAGTTGCCTCCACTGCTGACTCATCCCTCTCCACTTTCAACTCCGGCACGTCGAAGTAATATTCTTTGGGAACTGCACAATACCCTCGCAGTTTCCAACTCCTATCGCAGTCTTCATGACTAACTCGTCCTCTGGATCGATCGTCGCACGCAACACTATTTCACTCCCGTGCCAGGCAGTCTCCTCTAACTTTCTTTTAGGTCTGCACATCCCCTCGTTCTCCTGGAACTTGGTGGATGTCGGTCGTCTTCAGGACCTCGGTGTTATGCAGAACTGTCAGAAGGTTCGTGGTAGTCCCGATACATGGGCCGGCTCTGCCTTGTACAGTAGTTTGTGGTTTGGCAATAATAACGTGCGAGATGTCGAACACCGTTAAACGGTAACGAGCAAAGAGTTGTCGAGCCCGTGAACAGTATCGTATGCAGTGAAGTCAGATTTGTAGTGAGAAAATCTATAATTCCCTTACAAGATCACGTGTACGCCACTGTCATGTAGTCGTAACAATCGGTGGCATATCCTCGTTCGCTACCATGATCGAGGATTTCGCGCCCATGTTCAAACCTGTCGGCGAACACTGCGCCACTTGTGGGCTCCAGCACCTTCACAACCCCAAAGGTTCGCAGCACTTGCGAACGCACAGAAACGCCTTGCCTGACACAGCATCGTTGTTGGAGCAGCTCGTGCGGGTGATTTCGACAAACGAAGCGCGAGACACGCACCCTCTCCCTGTGTTACCCTCTCGCCAACAAAGTCAACTCTGTTCACACCTCGCCAAAGGAGAGGGCCCAAAACGCGATTCGACTTGAAAGGTCAGGTCCAGTGAGACCAAATCCGAAGCGCATTTCCAAGTACAACCTACCAATCTACCTTTCTTGTGGAAATGTCGAAAGCTCCCTGTTTTCCATAAATTCCTGCCTCAGACGACTAATATGTCCATTTGGTTCTTTCATACTTTACTTTCCCTACTTCAATGCTGCTACTGTCGCCAACGCGAAGCTCCATCACCATGGAAGCTCACGACAACCGCAATTGTAGGCTCTTTTGCGCCGCCCTCGCCTCTCTCCTCCTGCTCTCCTGCACAACCCTTGCGTGGGCTGCAGACAAGTCAAACCCGCCGTTCGTCAAGGCACCCATCACCGATACGCAATGGCACAAGGGAAGCGCCACATTTTACGGCAACGAGATGCTGCAGGGCAACTCGGGCAACTGCGGGTTCCCATACCGGTTCGTGGATAACGTAACCCAGGTGGCCGTTCCCGACCCGCGCTGGTCTCAGTCGCTCACGAATGGCGTGCAGCCCTTTAAGGGCGCGGCGTGCGGGCAGTGCTACGAGGTGAAGTGCTTGCGCTCGCCGCGGTACGGAAGCAAGGTGCACTGCTCGTCGGACAAGCCGACGCGCGTGGTGATCACCAACTTTGACACGCCGCGGTCCGAGGGGTGGCCGAACAACCACTTCGACTTCCACAACACGGGCTTTAGGAAAATCGCGGCGCTAGAAGCGGGAATCATCAACGTCATGTGGCGGCGCGTGAGATGCCCCCAAAGCACGCCGAAATTTACCGTGAAGGGCAACCCGTACTTTCACGACATCACCGTGTACGACGTGCCGGGTGTGGGCGCCATAACGGGCGTGTGGGTGCAGGTGGCGGGCAGCGGCGGTTGGCAGAAGGCGCGGCAAAGCTGGGGCGCGCATTACTTTCTGAGCGGCAAGGTGGATTGGAACAATCCGAAAACCAAGGTCCGCGCGCAGGTAGCGGAGACGGGCAATTTTATTTACCCCAAGCACGTGCAGGCCGTATGAGGAACTGCGCGCCGAGAGTGGTGTGCAGTGGACGAGCGTGACAGTACTGGATGAATAAAAGGGTCTGTTTTTTGTGGGCGCAGTGGGACCCCCGCTGCAGCCAAGCTATGGCCAATATACGGGAAGAATACGCTTGCACCTGTTGCAATGCTGGGGAGGAGTATGGGAGGTAGGTGAAAGGATGTTATATGTACGGTATGTTTAGGGTTCTCTTACTCCTGGCTGTTGTTGCTCACTAATGGGCTAACATGGTTGTGGAACTTTGTTACATGGAATGAGATATTTGCTATACAATATTTGTTCTTCAGAAGCAGTTGTTTTGCTCCAAGCTTCCAGTCTCCCATGTGTCTCCTGCTGCTTTCACTCTACCCCTTGAAAGATGCGTGCATGAAAATTTCTGTGCATGGAGAAAGTACGGATGCCGACGCATCCATATCCAATCCAAACCCACGATTTTACAGCACTTGGGCCCTTGACATCGCCACTGTGTCCTCTCCGTCTGCCATCCTTTTGTCCCAACACTACATGCAGAGTGCAAGCCTGGGAGTAGGTACACCCTATAATGAGCAATGAGCGCACAATGAGCACATTTTGCTCTCCTTTCAGTTGCAGGTTAGTCCTAAAAACATTAGCGGCACCGTATGCCTTACCATAAAGTGATATGAGGCTCGCACTCTGCCTTCCAATAAGATGTCAGACGGACGGACAGTAGTACATGCAGCCTCCACTTGCTGCTTTCCCTCAACATTGGTGATTTTCTTGACATCGTCATTGAGAGAATTTCACTTCATGCCTCTGTTCCCTCCTGCACTCAAGGCAAGTGGGTGGAGCGGAACCGCTCCTCTTCACTTTCAGGAGCCTGGAATGGAACCTCAACACTCTTATGATATGAAATTTAAAGCGGCAGTATACATTTGGCAGGGCCAGTGCCAAAAGTTTATAAAAGGTACATGGTGGTTACCGAATTACGTGCCACCCAACTTCTCTCTCAAGAAACAAGGGTTCCCTCCCCACCAAGTCAGCCCAGTCGAGTGCCAAAACTTTATAGATGCCAAAAGTATACTGATTCAATTCCCCCCGCACCAGCACACTCTCGTAGCGTTCTCAGCCTGCACTACTAAAAAAAAAACCTGCCTATAGCATTGAAGTGCGACGCGACCGTAGCAGATCCCTTAGGCTCGCCGGCGCTAGAGTCGACGAATACACATCTAGTCGTTTAGTAGTCGCGGGCGTCGCCGTCGCGTCAATCGTACGATTAGTGTGGCAGCCGGCCTGGCCACGCGTAGGGTTGCGATCACGCGCGCGAACCGACGAGCCCGCATAATGTGGAATCTTGTCACGCCTTCCTCCGCTGCCCCTCACTTCCCCTCTCCTCGCCGCTTCGCCGCGCTTTCCGTAGTGGTTTCCTTGCCTCCCCACGCAGCCTAGGAGATCCCTCTTTTGCATGATCCACTCGCCGCAAATTGCCTCCCTCGAGTCAGAACCCGCTGCCTCGCCGGACATCGCGTCGTAGCTTCGCCTCAACGCCCGTCACGGCGTCGCCTCGCCGCAAATCCGCACGCGGCATCGTCACCTCGCCTCCTCACGCCACCTTGATCACGCTCACCGCGCCACAACATGCAGGCCCTTATTCGCCGACCAATCCCCCCTTTCCCCATCCCGTTCTCCCCTTTCCCCATCCCGTTCTCCCCTTCCCCATCCCGTTCTCCCCTTTCCCCATCCCGTTCACCCCTTTCCCCATCCCGTTCTCCCCTTTCCCCTTTCCCCATCCCGTTCTCCCCTTTCCCCATCCCGTTCTCCCCTTTCCCCATCCCGTTCTCCCCTTTCCCCATCCCGTTCTCCCCTTCCCCATCCCGTTCTCCCCTTCCGCATCCCGTCCTCCCCTTTCCGCATCCCGTTCTCCCCTTTCCGCATCCCGTTCTCCCCTTTCCGCATCCCGTTCTCCCCTTTCCCCATCCCGTTCTCCCCTTTCCCCATCCCGTTCTCCCCTTTCCCCATCCCGTTCTCCCCTTTCCCCATCCCGTTCTCCCCCCCTTCTCCCCTTTCCCCATCCAGTTCTCCCCTTTCCCCATCCCGTTCTCCCCTTTCCCCATCCCGTTCTCCCCTTTCCGCATCCCGTTCTCCCCTTCTCCGCATCCCGTTCTCCCCTTTCCGCATCCCGTTCTCCCCTTTCCCCATCCCGTTCTCCCTCGTTTCCCTCGCTTCCCTCCCTTCCCTCGTTTCCCTCTCTTCCCTCCCTTCCCTCGTTTCCCTCTCTTCCCTCCCTTCCCTCGATTCTCTCTCATCCCTCCCTCCCTCGGTTCCCTCTCTTCCCTCCCTTCCCTCGTTTCCCTCTCTTCCCTCCCTTCCCTCGTTTCCCTCTCTTCCCTCCCTTCCCTCGTTTCCCTCTCTTCCCTCCCTTCCCTCGTTTCCCTCTCTTCCCTCCCTTCCCTCGATTCTCTCTCATCCCTCCCTCCCCCGTTTCCCTCTCTTCCCTCCCTTCCCTCGTTTCCCTCTCTTCCCTCCCTTCCCTCGTTTCCCTCTCTTCCCTCCCTTCCCTCGTTTCCCTCTCTTCCCTCCCTTCCCTCGATTCTCTCTCATCCCTCCCTCCCTCGTTTCCCTCTCTTCCCTCCCTTCCCTCGTTTCCCTCTCTTCCCTCCCTTCCCTCGTTTCCCTCTCTTCCCTCCCTTCCCTCGTTTCCCTCTCTTCCCTCCCTTCCCTCGTTTCCCTCTCTTCCCTCCCTTCCCTCGTTTCCCTCTCTTCCCTCGTTTCCCTCCCTTCCCTCCCTTCCCTCTCGATACCGTGTTTTCATGGCTATACTTTCTCAAACCGTGCTTCTCTTGCAGGCGGGGTGACTCCAACTCCGCACATTGTACCGCCTGCGCCAATCCTCACACATCAAAGCCACCTCTCCACCCAGTCCCACACTAGTTTCATTCTCGTCTCCAACAGCTCTCACATCCACATCCCCTTGATCGATTTCTGTGCTTGTGTTGCAGGTGGGGTGCTTTCCTGACAGTACATCCTAATATTTGCGCCTCACAAGCAACCTACGTGCCAGCAATCTGGGCATGGATAGGCCGCGATGGCAAAGTGTATGGCAGGGGATCGTGGCAACCTCCCTTTCATCCCTTTTCTCCCTTTCCTCCCCCTTCCCTCCCTTTTCTCCCTTTCCTCCCTTTTCTCCCTTTCCTCCCTTTTCTCCCTTTCCTCCCTTTCTCCCTTTCCTCCCTTTCCTCCCTTCCCTCCCTTCCCTCCCTTCTCTCCCTTCCCTCGTTTTCTTCCTTTCCTCCTGCCTCCCTGCTATACTATTCCCTCTTGTTACCTTCCCTGCAATCCCTCCAACGCTGAAAGCGATCTCAATGTGCTTCTCCTCACATGCCTTCCAAAGCCTGATTCCCTTCTCCTCACTTCTCCCCCTCATTCCCCCCACCCCCCCCGACCTGATTCCACTCATCGCCTCCCCCCTCCCACCCCACCCCCCCCCCCCGATTCCCCTCATTCACCCCCCCCCCCCCCCGCCCGGATTCTTTCCCCTCCCCTTACTATTTCAGTGACTGACTGCTCTGAAGATTTCAACACGCCTCAGCCAATCATCTCATGTCAAAGCAGCTAATATTTGTTGCCAAAGGCATAGAGAAAGGGTCAATAGAACGGCATTGCTCCTCTTGGTCTTTGCCTACAGTATAAAGTTATGTGAGGACATGCTTCTTTCTACCCGTATGGGATGTGACACCTGTTAGTGCATCTTGGAAGGATATTGCACTGCTGAATCGTGGTAGTACATAGTAGGCTTCATGACGCATGTCTCTAAGATTAACTCACTACCATACTTGCATTACAACGCACACGAGACAAAACAAAAGTGGGGGCAACCATCCACCAGCTACGCCTCTGCTTGTAATTGCTGCCCTCTGTATCAACACAGCCAATTAGCAGAGTAGGCAAACACGATTGTGTAAGGCCCAATGGGAAGGTGCTGTGAGGCAGAAGGGGAGAAGCAACAAAGGAATTCAAGAAAGTAATGGCACTTCATGCACAAGAACTTGAGGGTAGACGGTGGCGAGTGATGTGGGAGGGGTGGGCATGCAAGGGACGGGAAGGGAGAAGGGATGGAAAGGGAAGGGTGGAGCAGGGAAGGGAAGGGCAGGGGGGTGGGAAAGGAAGGAAGGTCAATGAAGGGAAAAGCAGGAAAGAAGGGGATGAATTGGGCGGACTGGCGTCGTGTAATAACGCAGGCGGCAACTCCGACTAGGCCACGAACTCGTCGGGATGTAACGCACTGCTTCACACACACTCGCAACAGCGCAGTGGTGCTGGCCACCAGGACACGACACGGGAGGGGAGGCACGAAGCAGGGAGAGGAGATGCGAGCACAGGGAGAGCGAGTGAGGAAGGCAGGGAGAGCGGTGATGGGAAGGAAGGGATGGAAGATGGGAAGGCAGGGTTGCGTGTGAAAAGATGAGAGCAAGTGGGAGGAGCAAGAACACGGGATTACGACACTAGGAACAAATAGCCGGCATGCTCACTGCCATGTCAGCCTGCATGCCGGCAACTGCTGACGTGGCAGCAGTGGTGGCGGAAGGGGCGGCAGCGGCAGCGGCGAGGGTGAGCGAGGTGGATTGGGCCACTGCTGTAGCCGTGTCCCTGTCTGTATCTCGAGTGACTGAGGAGGCCCAAGGGGTCATAACGGGCGGCAGGGTGCGGCACGAGGTGGGTTGCCTCTTCAGCGAGCTATGATTGGCCGTTGATGAGAGCCAATTGCAAGGCCGACAGCCAGAGCTATGGTGTCAAACACGTGCTTCACCTGCAGTAGTGGGCAGAATGGCACGGTGGGGGCAAGGAAGGGGAGAGACGAAGAAGGGGACAGCAGGATTGTATGTTGGGCAGAAGGACAAGTTAAGTTGTGGGCTAATGGTGGGAGAGGAGGGTTGACGGTTGACGATAGGGTACCCGGGGGGAAAAAAACCAGAAAGGATGGGAGAAACAGAGTGTAAGCTGAACCGCCGGACACGGGAGCACAATGGTGGACCGTGCAAGGACTGGGCCCCCCGAGGGGTCAGCCAGGGAGACTGGGACCGGTGCAGGGAGCGGAGTGAGCTCAGTACTGTCACGAAAGAAACAGCGGGAAGCACCTGAGTCAAGAGTGAAGGTGTGCAAGGCCTCAGCGGGTGCAGTACCTGAGAGAGCAGACTCACTAGCAGCAGGGACCGCACGGGAGGAAGCAGCGACAGAGGGCACAGTACCAGAGAGAGCAGACTCACTAGTACCCAAGGCAGCGGGCTCTATACCTGGGTCAGGCGGCACACACAAGTAACAGTCTCCCTCGGCACTAACAGTCAAAGCATACATGGCAGCAATAATAGCATCATAGTCAAGAGCAAAGATATCAACACCAGCCCTCATCAGATCAGCCCAGCGGGGGCGCTCAACATCCTCGCCCATCTCCTCACGCCAAGCGTCGTCAAGGCGGAAGAAGCAGCGGTACTGAGTGTGGAACTTCCCACACTTCTGCCCCTTGCGATCACCTGTGCGAATGACATAGGAACAGCGGCCACTGCCCCCCGACGTCCCACGCTGAGCAAGCCACTCACGAAGCTGCTGGGTCGTCTGGGGACGCTGCTGCTGCTGGGAGATCTGGTCCGAGCCGGTGCCTCCACTCCGACCTCCACCGCCGCCACTACCTCCGCTCCGACCGCCACCGCCGCCACCGCCACCGCCACTACCGCCACCGCCGCCACTGCCGCCGCTGCCACCACCGCCACCGCTCCCTCCGCCGCCCCCGCCTCCGCCGCCGGCCCCACTCCCACCAGCACTCCCGCCACCGCTCCCTCCAGCACCGCCTCCCCCCCCACCTCCCCCACCCCCTCCCCCCCCAGCGCCACCCCCGCCACCCTTGCCCCCCTTGCCCTTGCCGGTGCGGCGCCTCCCACCAGGAGCAGAAGCAGCGCCAGCAGACTCAGCACCAAGGAAGTCAACAGCAGCAGCAGTAGCGTAGGAGGGAGCGAGGGGAGAGGGAGAGCACCCCTCAAAGATGGGGGTGCGAGGAGCGCCGCGAGCAGCACCTACAGCTACAATGCTCTTCTCGGCCGCTAGCAGCTTCTCCTCTAGGAGGGCGACAGTGAGCTCAGTGGGACAGCGAGCAAGGAAATAGTCGCGCACTGAGCTGAGGGTGTCAGGGAGACGGGTGACTATGAAGTGGAGTGTCCAGTACAGTGGAGGGGGGTTCTTAGCGCAGAACTCGGTGGGAAGGGCGGCACGTAGGCGAGCATCACTAGTGCGAAGGTGGGTGATAAGATCGGCGACTGTAGCAAAGGTGGACAGCTCAGGGAACAGGTAAGGCAGCATGAGGCGGCTAAGCTCGGCTGTGGCAGGCGAGGAGTAGCGAGCAACGATCGCGTCGTACAGGGCCTTAGCGGTTTTGCAGTCGCCAAAATGCTCGAGCTCAGCTAACGGCAGGTGACTGCGAATGGCTAGGCGAGCAGCAGCGTCACGCGTCTGCCAGTGGGAACGGGCACTAAGCTCGGCTGTGGCAGGAGGGGCAGGCGCAGCACCAGATGCGTAATCATAGAGTGACACGTGCTCCTTGCTATCGCTCAGGAGGAACAGCTGCAGGTCATCTAGCCAAGTGGTGAACTGCACAGGGCGGCCCTCAGCATCGAAGGACAGCACGCGGATGGAAGCCATCGCGACAGCACGTCAGAGCAAAGCAAGCAGCCGCAGCAGGGAAAGGCGACTGTCCACGGGTAGAGAGCAGCAGGCGAGGCTGGCGCTACGGGCAGGCGGCGCTGCAAGCGGGTAGCTCGGTAGGGAGCGCGGCGGGCGGGCGGCGCTCTGAGCGGGCAGCGTGGCAGGTAGCGCGGCGGGCAGGCGGCGCTGCAAACGGGCAGCGCGACGGGCGGGCGACGCTGCGAGCGGGCAGCGCGGCGGACGGGTGGGGAAGCGGGCAGCGCGGCGGGCAGGCGGCGCTGCAAGCGGGCAGCGCGGCGGGCGGGCGACGCTGCGAGCGGGCAGCGCGGCGGGCAGGCGGCGCTGCAAGCGGGCAGCGCGGCGGGCGGGCGGGCAGCGCGAGCGGGTAGCGCGGCGGATGGGCGGCACTACTGGCGGGCAGCGCGGCGGGTGGCACGGCCGGCGGGCTGCGCGGTGGGTGGGCGCGCGATGGGCAGCGCGGCTGGCGACGCGCGGCGCGACGGGCAGCGCTACGGGCGGCGCGACGAGCAGCGCGGCGGGCGAGGGCGCTAACGAGGGGCGCTAACGAGGGCGCTAACGAGAGGCGCACGAGGGCGCTAACGAGGGCGCGCGAGGGCGCTAACGAGGGCGCGCGAGGGCGCTAACGAGGGCGCACGAGGGCGCTACGAGGCTAGGGCACGGGGTAGCGTGGTAACCGCATGCGAGCGGTGGTGGGCCCTAAAAAAAAACGGTCGGTAGGTCCTAGGGACCTCCTGCTCTGAATACCATGTCAACAAGACTAGGCAAGAATGGTGCATTGAATGAAACAGTTGGGTACAAGTAGCAAACCCTAGTTGGGGTTGTACCCCATATTGGCTACCCCACTACAGCCTACCAACACATAACACATTACAATTTAACATCATACACCCGCCACCCCCAGAGCTGCAGGCGCAAGAGGGAGAGGAAGGAGAACAGGGAGGGGCGGGGAGGAAGCAGCCCCGCGGCGCACGGGGCAAGGGGCGGCGCGCGGGTCCCCTGGGGCGTCACGACGGGCGACGAGGGGCGACGCGCGGGTCCCTGGGGGCGCCGCGACGGGCGACGGGGAGCGAAGCGCGGGTCCCTAGGGCGCCACGACGGGCGACGTGGAGAGACGCGCGGGTCCCTGGGGGGCGTCACGACAGGCGACGGGGGGCGACGCGCGGGTCCTCTGGGGTGTCGCGACGGACGACGGGGGGGAGCACGCGGGACGGAGCACGAAACAGCCGCTCGTGCCCGGGGCGCACGACGGGCAGGAAACCGCCACGCGCCACGAGCGCGTGGCGGGAAGAAAAAGGAACGTCGCGCGCCACGGGGCGCGCGACAGACAGTATGGCAGCGGAAGCAGGCGGGCCCAGAGGCCAGGAGCGTAACCGCTCTGATAGGGTGTTGAAACAGTAGCTAGAACGAAGGAGCCATAGCTAGGGTTTAGCTAGCTAGGCAAGAGAGAATAGGCAAAAGAGGGAGTTTTACTAGCAAACAATGGGATACATATAGCAAACCCTAACAGGGCTGTACTCACTATAGAGTACCCCACTGCAGACTGGAGAAGTATAACATTCTGACACAATCAACCTTACCACCCCCTTTCGGACTCCTCCTATTTTGAACCCAACACCACGCCACTATCGACTGAGAACCATCGCCTCTATCAGCAGCATCTTGGGTGCCTGCTGTTCGCTGCCGTCACGTGCCAGACGGATCTCTCCTACGTCGCAAGCCAGCTCGCACAGTACCTACGCCGACCTGAAGGGAGAATCTACTAGACCTACGCCGAGCACTTCAATTTTTTATTTCTACTCCTGACGTCGGACTCACCTACATGGCGAACCTTACATCGCTTTATAACAGGGCAGCGCACCTGTATTACTATCGCGTTAAGCTCGTATAGAGCACGCGGCAGCTCGAGAGTTACCCGAAGGTCAACAGTCGTAGATGGTCAACGGTCGCGACTGTTGACCGTCTAGTAACTGTACTATGAGGTTACATGATGCAACACGGTAACTGCGGAGTATAGCAATAGTCGCAGTTACTTTAGAAATGTGATATATTTAATAAGGGAATGTACCCCGTATGAGTATTTGGCTAGCTAGATTTGCTATTTAATTCCCCTGTACTTCTATCTTAATCATCGTGTTCTCCTCAAATATTTATCAACAAGGTCATCAGAAAGACTTCAATAGTCTTCACCAAAACTTGGCTAGTATCATAATTCAGTACGTTTCCTGGTTACATCAACAACATTCGTCACCGAGTGCGAAGAAAAGAAAGAAATAGAAAGAAATAGAAAGAAATAGAAAGAAAGAAAGAAAGAAAGAAAGAAAGAAAGAAAGAAAGAAAGAAAAAAAAACAAACAAATGAATCAAACAAATGAATGTTTATGTACACCATTACGTGCTTGTTTAGTTTGAGACACTACAATGCAGTTTTGTGGAAAGGCACTTGAATTTCTTTACACTTGTAAAGTGCATTCTTTTGTATCGAAGTTATCAAATTTTTGGTTCGCCGCTCTGCACCTCAACTCTGTCCCCGACTGAACCCGCCGACAATAGATTTCTCAGGGTGGGTCCAGCGCGTACGTTTATTGGTGCCCTACAGTTCTGACGTCGTGGTTTGAGACGGTATCACGCAGTGCACAGCGGTTTGAAATGTACACCGTTTTTCATCGTGGCAAAATCAGACTAACCGCACAGGATGAACTGTACCTCAACTGAAAGCGTACGCGCTGGACCAGCCCTCAGTGAGCCCCCTGGCTTCCCAAGGGTGTACCTGTGGTTCGTTCGTTGAGAAGAAACGAATTTCGGCAAGGCTAGGAGGTTTGGAAGGAAATCCAGCAGGGAGGTCGTACAGTGTGCGAAGACCTGGTAAATTTCTGCCACAAGTCGTAAGACGAGTTCGACTTGTATACTGAATCGTTGTCAGACGAGTTCGACTTGTATACTGAACTGTAATGTACACCAACTCAACCAGTTCGCACTCAGCCGACTTCAAGTCCCGGATTCACAACTCAAAAGTCGAAACAAATGCACACCTGGTACTGTAGAGTTCGCCCTCGAGTTGTTCCTCCGACAAAAGCCTTGCGCCCGAGTGAGCGCGCAAGCAGCGTACTGTACAGTACCTGCGGAAGCGCAAGGAATACAGTACACCCGTATAGCCCCCTTCCCTCCCCCTCCCCCTCCCCCTCCCCCAACCTTTCCCCCTTGTTAGGGTGTGCGGAGCCCATGCATTTGTCCCTCACTCGCAAAGCGGGCGAAGGCGAAGGCGGGAGCCACAAACAAATGAAGAAACGTTATCCTCTGCTGCTCCACTCACATGCTCCCCTAATCCCCGGCCCCCCTCACACGCTTTCCACGCGTCATCCTTACCCCCGCGCGGGCTAGACCTGTCATAATATCCCAGTCTCACAATCTTCCCTCCACATCAGAGACACGTTCCTTGTATTATTATCTATTGCCACACCCACTAAATAGACTTTCCATTCCACGCCCCGTCATCATCCATATTTTTTTATCGTCTCGTGGTTGGCTTGGCTTCCTCCGTTGTAACGAATTGCAGTTTGTTAGGGTTTGCTAGCTAGCCTTACGACGACCCGTAGCGGTAGTTAGGTATGTGGCAACTACAGTGCCACCCGCCATGGCAGCAGCAGAGCATCTCATGGCCCACCCCATTGCCTTGTGGTTCCGCTCCCGCTACCTCCACCACTCCGCCTAGCTTAGCGACCGTCGCGGGGAGCGTCGCAGGAACGTCGCCGCCGGTTATTTCTACGCCGTCGCTGTCGTCGTCGTCACACAGGATTCTCCATCGCCAGGCGTCGTCGCCAGGCGTTTGCCCGCAGCGGAATGCGAGTCTGTCGCAGGCGCCGTGCTTCTTGTCGCAGTCGCCGGGTTTCCTGTCGCAGGCGTCGGGAAGCGGGTCGGCGCTGCTCGCAGGGCACATGAAGAAGGTGCGAGGCTGGGTTGTGGATGTTCAATACCTGCAGCACGAAGCGCCCGTCCACTGGGACCCTAAACTCGCTCCTGCTTCTCCCGACCAGCGGGTGAGCCAGCTCGCTCGCCTCCTTCTCCTACCACCTCTACTCCTATTTTCCTCTTTCTCTCTCTCTCTCTCTCTCTCTCTCTCTCTCTCTCGCTCTCTCGCTCTCTCCTCTCTCTCTCCTCTCTCTCTCTCGCTCTCTCATCTCTCTCTCTCTCTCTCTCTCTCTCTCTCCCTCTCTCTCTCTCTCTCTCTCTCTCTCTCTCTCTCCTCGCTCTCTCTCGCTCTCTCTCTCTCTCTCTCCCTCTCTCTCTCTCTCTCTCTCTCTCTCTCTCTCTCTCTCTCTCCTCTCTCTCTCTCTCTCTCTCTCTCTCTCTCTCTCTCTCTCTCCTCTCTCCTCTCTCCTCTCTCCTCTCTCCTCTCTCCTCTCTCCTCTCTCCTCTCTCCCTCCCTCCCTCTCTCCCTCCCCCTCTCTCTCTCTCTCTCTCCTACTCTCTTGCGCGCTGCTACTAACGGAGCACTTGCTTCAAGTTGTGCACACCCGTGTGCCAATACGGCCAAACGATGCGGTCTCAGCATTTTCCGTGATTTTTCCTTCCGCGTTTAACTGTTTCCTGGTATTTTGTTCGTCTCTTAAACCTTTCGTCCCCTTCTTACTCATGCTTTCGTTCCTTCTCTGGTATATGATTTCAGCGGCAAAACGTGCGGGAGCAGCAGCAGCAGCAACAGCAGCAACAGCAACAACAGCAACAACAGCAACAGCAGCAAGTTCCGGCAGTGGAGGATTCGTTAAAGGAGCCCGTGTTGGCGCCGCTCAAAACGGAGCAAGACATTCTCCTCGCGCACTACGTCCCTGTTTACGTCATGCTGCCGGTGCGCGCTGTTCTTCCGCGCACCCTCGCGCGTCCACCCACGTGCCCGTGCTGTTTCACAGGTTCGTGAAAGAACACCAAGTTTTTTTATAGCCAACGCGTTGTGTTCTAGTCGTCCTTCTCCCACCCACCATCGGCCCTCCGTCTCCCATCTATCTACATCTCCTGGGTTTCTTCTCACTCCGCTTCCCCTTGCCTACCCCACGCGCCCTTTTCCGCCTCATCCAAGCGCAACTCTATCCCCCCTCGCCCCCCGCCCGCCCCCCTCTCTCCTCCCCTCCTCCCCCAGCTCCACAGACCGCCTGGTGTGCAATCTCCGAGTCGACTCAAAAGTCACCCTTCCCTCTTCCGCGCTCCCCACCACAACTCTACCCCCGCCCCGCCCGCCTCCCCCACGCCCCCTCCCCCAGCTTGACACCGTGACGCGCGACAACGTACTGGCGCACACGGAGCGCCTGGTCTGCAATCTCCGCGCGCTGCGCGCGGCGGGCGTGGACGGCGTGATGGTCGACGTGTGGTGGGGCGTCGTCGAGTCCGCCGGGCCGCGCCAGTACGACTGGTCCGCGTACCGCGCGCTCTTCTGCCACATCAGCGCGGCGGGACTAAAGATTCAGGCCGTGATGTCGTTCCACCAGTGCGGCGGGAACACGGGCGACAGCTGCTTCGTGCCGCTGCCGCAGTGGGTGCTGGACGAAGGTGACCGTTGCCCGGATATTTTCTTCACGAACCGCGACGGGCTGCGGAACCGCGAGTACCTGAGCTTCGGCGTGGACGACGAGCCGGTTTTGGCGGGGCGCACGGGCGTGCAGGTGCGCGGGGGAAAGGGGGAATGCGGGGGCAACCGGGGGGGAAGGGAGGAGAGGAGGGAGGAAGAGAGGAAGAGGTGGTAGGGTGGGGGCGAAGGAGGGACGTTTCTAAGTATCGTCCCTTATATGCGTTCTCATTTCGTGCGCAAAGCACTTGCGCATTCAAAGCGAAGCCCATGCGTCTGTAGCAATTTCAGCAGCACGTACTACAGGCCGCTTACTCTCTGGTTAGGGTTTGGGATTGGGGGAAAGAGGAGGGGAAGGAAGGTGTGCGGGAGGGAGGAGCGCGCCATGCGGTAGGTTTCACGTCTATGGCGGCAACTGCATTGACAATGGTAATGCCAATGACTCTATGTTGGCTACTATTACATTCGCCTGCCGTTCCCCGATTCCCGCGAAACCTATTCCCCCCACAATTGACAGGTACACTTGCAGTCCCAGAGCCTCCCAACCTCGCCACTCACTCCCCCTCGCCCCCTCCCCCATCCCCCGTCCGCCGTCCCCCGCTCCCGCTCCCCTTCCCCCCCCTCCCACTCCCCTTCCCCTCCCTTCCCCTCCTCCCCAGGTATACACGGACTTCATGCGCTCGTTCCGCGCGCACTTCCAGCACTTCCTGCACTCGGGCATCGTCACCGAGGTCGAGGTGGGGCTGGGGCCGGCTGGCGAGCTGCGCTACCCCTCCTACCCCGAGACGCACGGCTGGCGCTTCCCTGGGATTGGCGAGTTCCAGGTGCGTCGTTCGAGAGGGGAAGAGGGGAAAATGGGGGAAAAAATTGGGGGGAAAAAGGGGGGAAGTGGGGAGGTGCTGGTGTATGGGAGAGTGGATAACCCTGCGGAGTGTGGGCTCGTTGTTTGTTTGCTTCCAGGTGCGTGAGCGTATGGGTTTTGGGGCGGAGAAGGTGCATGGGTATGGGAGGGCGGCCTTGGTAGGGTGGCCTTGGGAGGATGGCGACTAACGCTCCTAGAAAATTTCTTGCTCCTCCCCCTCCCCCCCCCCTCATCTCCCCCCATCCTCCAGTGCTATGATAAGTTTCTTCTGGCGCAGCTGAGCTACGCGGCGCAGGAGGCGGGGCAGTACCAGTGGGGGTAGCACCTAGAAAACCCCTCCCCCCTTCCCCCGCGCCCCTCCTCTCCCCCCCAGTGCTACGACAAGTTTCTCCTCGCACAACTAAGCTATGCGGCGCAGGAGGCGGGGCAGTACCTGTGGGGTACTCGGGGCCACACGAATTTTTAGTTGACTCAGAGAAGTTAGCTCTCTCCCCCTCCCCTCTCCCCCTCCCCACACCCTCCCCCCTCCTCCCCCCCCTCACCCCCTCCCCCAGTGCTACGACAAGTTTCTCCTAGCACAACTGAGCTACGCGGCGCAGGAGGCGGGGCAGTACCAGTGGGGGTACTCGGGGCCACACGACGCAGGGCGGTACAACGACTGGCCGCAGGCGACGGGGTTCTTTGGCGCGCACGGGTCCTTCGCCACGGACTACGGGCGCTTCTTCCTCGAGTGGTACTCCTCCGTGCTGCTCAAACACGGAGATGCTATCCTGGAAGCGGCTACCGATGTGTTTGTCGGCCTGCCGATCAAGCTTGCTGCGAAGGTGCGCGCTGTGTGTGGGGGGGGGGGGGGGGGGGGGGGGAGGGGAGGCGTGGGGAGGGGTGGGGAGTGGCGGAGGCGTGGTTGCTGCTTGTTAGAGGTAGAGGTGGAGTGGTGGGAAGATGCGGATAAAGGGGGGAAATGGAAGTATGGGCCCTGTGACCTTGCAGGAGGGCTTCAAGGCGCATATAATCCCTTGTGCTGCTTGCCTCCTCATTCTACCTCCTCCCTTACCTCCTCCCTTCCTGACTAATCGCCCAAAACCCTGTCCCATCACTCCGCCTCGATTCCCACCTCTTCTCCCTCCTCCCAGGTGGCAGGCGTGCACTGGTGGTACAACTCGCACAACCATGCAGCGGAGCTAGCAGCGGGGTATTACAACCTGCGGGAGCGAGACGGGTATCGCCCCATCGCGCTCATGCTGGCCCGCCACGGCGCCATGCTCAACTTCACGTGCGCTGAGATGCGCAACCACGAGCAGTACTGGGAGGCGCGCTGTGGTCCCGAGGGGCTCGTGCAACAGGTGAGGGAGGAGGGAGGGGTTGGAGGGGGGGGGGAGGGGGATGGGAAAGTTGTTGTTTGAGTGGAATGGGCTTCACGTCACGTGCGCTGAGATGCGCAACCACGAGCAGTACTGGGAGGCGCGCTGTGGGCAGAAGGGGCTTGTGCAACAGGTGGGGAAGGGGGAAGAGGGAATAAGGGGGACGAGCAGGGGTCGGGTTGTTGCGAGGGGAGAGGAGTAATGTGTCATTTCCCTTCTATCCTGCGTCGCCATCTCTCTGTTTCCCCACTGCCCCCTCACCTTCCCCTGTCCCTGCACTGCCCCGCTCTCACCAACGTCCCACTCGCGCCCACAGGTGTTGGCAGCATGCAGAAACGCCCTGCCCCGCTTATCACCTCCCTCCTGCTCCTGCGTCTCCACCTCCTGTTTCCTCCCCTCTCCCTTCCTGTTTCCTCCCCTCTCCCTTCCTGTTTCCTCCCCTCTCCCTTCCTGTTTCCTCCCCTCTCCCTTCCTGTTTCCTCCCCTCTCCCTTCCTGTTTCCTCCCCTCTCCCTGATTGTTTCCTCCCCTCTCCCTAACTGTTTCCTCCCCTCTCCCTTCCTGTTTCCTCCCCTCTCCCTAACTGTTTCCTGCCCTCTCCCTAACTGTTTCCTCCCCTCTCCCTAACTGTTTCCTCCCCTCTCCCTAACTGTTTCCTCCCCTCTCCCTAACCGTTTCCTCCCCTCCCCCCCCACCGAGCATCACCTCTCTCTTCCCTGTCCTCTGCTTTCCCGTATCCCCTTCCCCACCACCACCAACAACGCCCCGACGGCATCAACTGGAGCGGGCGGCCCAAGCGGCGCATCTCGAGCTTCCCAGGTGGCAGGAGGGCCTTGAAGTAGTGTGCGAGAAGGGAACGTCCTGCCCCACTTACCACTCCCCTCTTCTCTGCACTCCCCATTCCTGTTGGTCGCGTGCTACTGCGCCTGTTCCCACACTCCCCCCCCCTCCTCCCTCAGGTGCTGGACGCGGGGTGGCAGGAGGGCCTGGAGGTAGCGTGTGAGAACGCCCTACCACGCTACGACGTGGCAGCGTTTGACCAGATCATCCACAACGCGCGGCCGGACGGCATCAACTGGAGCGGGCGGCCCAAGCGGCGCATCTCCAGCTTTACCTTCCTGCGCCTGGGCCCCGACCTGCTGCGCGAGAGGAACTGGGCCGAGTTTGTGCGCTTCGTGCGCCGCATGCACGTCGGGCTGGTAAGTTCCCTGGCACTGGGAGGGGCGTGGGGATGGGGATGGGGATGGGGATGGGGATGGGGATGGGGATGGGGATGGGGATGGGGATGGGGATGGGGATGGGGATGGGGATGGGAAGGGGTGTGGGGAGGGATGGGTTGGAAGGTGGTGATCCAAGCGACTGCTATCCGATGCCCCTTCCTGTTAGTTGCTTGCTGCTGTACCTGTGCCTCTTCCTTCTTGGTACCGCTACTCAGGTTTCAGATCCCCCCTAGCTTAAAAAAAAAAACCACCCTCTAGCCTTTCATCCCTAGATCATTTTTCCACTCACCCCCTTCTCCACACTACCCGTCCACCCTCCGCCCAACTACCTCTCCCTTCCCTCTCCCCTTTCTGTACCGCCCAGGATCGGCATCCCGAGCCTGAACAATACTTCAACCCACGCAAGCTGGTTCGGCGGTCGCGGCCCAAGCAGGCCGTGCCTCAGGACCCACCTCCTGCCCCTGTGGCGTCCGTGCCCCTGCACTCCAGCTCGCTGCCTCTCTCCCGCCCACTGCTGCTCAGCCCTTCTTCTCCCCTGATGCTCCTGGCGGTGGCCTGGGTGCTGAGATGGAGGCACAGGGGCAGGGGCAGGCGGAGCAGGGTGGTGTTTCCCCAGGGGATCAGCAACAGCAGCAGCAGCAACAGCAGCAACAACGGCCGGGTTTCTGGTTTGGTCAGGGGAGAGGACGAGGCAGCAGCGGGGAGCGGGGAGGAGAGAGTGAAGGGGAGGAGGCGAGAGGCATGGAGAGGGAGAACCCTGTGCAGTGCAGGGAGGGAGAAGAGTTGGAGTGCTGCCAAGACGATAGGACCGGCGCAGGCGCAGGGGCAGGTGCGGCAGAGGAAGGAGAGAGGAGAGACAGGGCTAGTGGTATGGCTGTAAATGGGGGAGAGGATAGAGATGGGACGATGGGAGCCGCAGGGCTGTCTAGCGGAGGGTTGGGGAGGGAATTCGGGGCGGCAGGAACAGGAGGGGGAGTAGGGGGGGGGGGGGTTCGGGAATGGAAGGGAGTGGAGATGGGTTGTCGTCACCGATAGTGGCGGTGACAGAAGCGCTTTCTCTTGCTGCAAGGAGTCTTGTCACGCAGCTGATGCCAGGGCAGGGTAGAGGGGAGGGTGAGGGGCAGCAACGGCAAGATTCCACAACAACAGGCCAGCAAGAATTGCAGCAGCAGCAGCAGCAGCAGCAACAAGGGGAACAAGAGCGAGAAGAGCAGCAAGGGCGAGAGGAAGCAGATCGGCAAGGGGGTGCGGAGAGTCTAGATAATGCAGGCGGCTTTAGCTGAGAAGCTAGGGATTGTGTATTTGATTAGCCATTCTTTTGGTGAGTCACCTGTGTGTGTATGTGTGAAGACTGTCCGTGTCCGTGCGTGCTTACAACTGTCCATCCCTCTGTGTGCTTGCAGTTGCAGCCATCCCTCTGTGTGCTTGCAACTGTCCCTGCATCGATCAATCTTATCCGCTTGCCCAGATGTGTTGCTCCTGTGCTAATCTCCCCACCCCTTTGGTCCTTCTGCCCCTTCCCCCTTCTTTCCCGTTTTTCGTCTCCTCCGCCTGTCTGTCAGCAGGAGGAGCGTCATCAGAGTCCTCCCCTGCGAGTAGCATGTTATGTTAAGAGGAGTCAACTGGTGGTTGGCTTGGCTTGCCTGCTGGTTGCAAGTAGCACTATCCTGGCAGCCCTCCCTACTGCCCACCCGGGGTACACTAGCCTTCATGTTTGGAGCCGCCTAAAAAATCGTTCTGGCAGCACTCCCCCCACCCACCCACCCGCCCTGGGTCTATTAGCCTAGAATCCACCCCCCATCCATCCCACGCGCGTTTCTCTGCCTTGCCACGCAAGCCTGACACCCCATCCCACTGCTCCAGGCCAGGCCACACAGCTGTGTTTTTGCGCATTGCTCAGGCATGGGCATGGGCATGCATGCATGTCCATGCTCGTTCGCTCTCGCGCTGATGTGTGCATGCACTGGTGCACACCCTTTACCTCTTTCCTTTGTGGCACGCCATGGCCCCTTTCTGCCGAAGGTGGGTCCGGACTCAGGCGCGGGGGAAAGGAATTACTCAGGCAAGGCATCATGGTGCTTTGAAAGCACTGCTTTCGCTGTGGTGGCTCCATATTGGGCTCCATTGGTTCGTGAACGGCGCCATATTGGGTCGCGTGCTGTGCCGCTGCTTTTGGTGCAGCAGCACAGTGTATGGGAGGGGGTTGGCCTACCGTTTTTGACTGGTTTCACCAGTCACCATCACCATCCACCACCATCCATGCCATGCCATCGCCACCATTGCCATCACCATCGGTTGGTCGTCAACTCGTCGGTGCAATCACCATCAACAACGCAGGTCCTGCCTTTTAGTACAGCTGTCTCTGCTGCTGTTGCTGTATGATACATGTGTTTGGCTTGCATTATTCTTCCAGTACTAGTTAGTCATAGCACAATGCTGGTCAAGTCACTGTTATTATATTTGTCTGTCTGTTCCTCTCCCCTACTCTCTGTCCTGTCCTGGACATGTAAATAGAACTGCTGATTGCTGGAATAGAACTGCTTACCGTAAATGTTTTTCTTCCTTACTCCTGCATTATGTTTGTTATATGCATTATGTTTCTGGTATTTAAACCGACTTCTTATAGCGAAGACAGCCCAAAGCATTCATATGTCCGCACCACGCAGGCCCCTATCCAAAAGGCTGCTCATTCAAATCCAGCAACTGGTGATTGAGCAAGCACAGACTAATCCCACACCCCTACGTTCGCCCAGCCAACGCGAAAATCCCTGGAGACGCTTTCCATGGTGATGTGCGATCGCTTTACGAAAGTCTTCTGCAAACAGTGTGTTGCCTCTCTCCAGTCTATGAGAGAGTATCAGGCAGTAACTCATATGCCATGCCAGCCTTCAGTCTATGAGAGAGTCACAGGCAGTAAATCATATGCCAGTTCGCGTGTTGCTTGATGGGATGATGTGTGTGATGGCTGGAATGTTGTGTATGCTACGAAGAAACCGTTCGCGTGATAGTATGGAATGGTGTGTGTGATAGCATGGGATGGTATGTATGATCGCATGATGGTGTGAGTGCTGGTGTGGGTCGGCGTGTTTTATGGGTTTGGATAATGGCCGCTACCACGGTGTGTTATGAAATGAAATGTGCAACTGGATGTAATGTCAGATGCTTAGTATGGTGTGTGGCATTACTATCAGGCTGGCCATTTGTTCTGTCATAGACATCTCATGCTTAACTTTTGCACCTCGTAGTCAGGCTGTCGTAGAAAACCTTACTCTAGCTCTACATTAGGAAATACAGAGCCTTACAGTATTTTGTTATTTACAGATACTGCGTGCGGCCCTACTCGTCATCATTAATGAACTTCCCTGTACCGGGGTTAATAGCCGCGATAAAGAAGAACGCGATACTGGCGAGCAGCAGCGGCTCCAGCTCCCAAACGGGCAAGCCAGTCTCGATATTCAGCTGCGCCAGCGCGCCTCTCCCGGTGATCACCTCACCCACCAAGCTCGCCGCAAACCCTAATTGCGCCATACGCCCCACGAATAGCTCGTTCGCCTTGGTAAATCCGAACAGCGGCCCATCCTCGCTCAACCCTAGCGCCGCCTTAAAGCTCCCCGGCTTCACCGGCGGACCCGCAGGCGTCTCGTCGTCCACGAATCGCCCGCGGTCGCCAAGACCGCCGATCGCGCCGAGCACGGTGAATGCGATGAAGAAGAGAAGCAGCGGCTCGGCTTCCGTGATAGGGATTCCGGTTTCGAGGTTGAGTTGCGAGAGGATTCCCTGTCCGGTTACCGCTTCGCCGAGCAGCGACGCGGCGAATCCGAGCATCGCCACGCGCCCAACGAAGAGCTCGTTAGCTTTCGTGAAGCCGAAGCCGCCGGATGTGCCGAAAATTCCGTCCTCGGTTCGTAGTTGCTTCTTAACGGGAGCGGTCTTAGCGGGGACGGCGGATTTGTTGAAGCCGAGGAGCGCGGTAGCCCCAAGGCCGCGGGGAGCGACGGCGGAAGGTGGTACTGCCAGGCGACTGACAGAGACAGAAGCAGCGCCCTTCACTGCTGTGCTGAAGGAGAGGGCAGCAAGAGACTGGTGGGCGACCAAGGAGGAAGCCATTGCGACTGGGAATCGAGTTGAGATGTTCAACGGTAGGGAAGTCGGGAGAGAATACGTGCTGAAGCGATATTGGGCGCTGCGATAACTGGTGATGAGAAATATCGAGTGAGGGCTTGAATTTATTTGTTTGCCAAGCCGCGAATTGACATGGTGGGATGGATGGGAGCTGGAAACCAGAAAGGGAGCAGATATTCATCATGAGACGTGGCTGCGTAAGCGAGGTGCCACGGTGGATGTTCCACTTTTGTGTTCGACGGTTTCTGGGACGGAAGCCAGCTGCGTGGCCTTTCTACTGCCACCAATTTCGGCACACGTCAGATCTCTGAAGCGATGGGCCGAAAGGATCTGACGTGTCGTCTGGAACCTTTTTGGACCATCGGGCACCGACTCTACAGTGACACTGGCATTCACCAGCTCTGACCCTAATTTCTGGACACAATAAGGTGTGTGTTTTGGACACCGAAGTCGGTACACTTGTTGTTTTGCAAAGTTCATTACATTTAAAGAAACCCACTTTGGACCATGACCAATGACTGACACGCAAATAAAAATACATCAGAATACAGGAAATATATGGGGGACAATCATACTTATGTTGTCAACAGTATGCACCAACACCCTATGAACCAGGTGTAGAGGCAATTTTCTTTACAGCAACTTTACAAAAACATACACATAAGATAAAAATTAGAGAACAGATCGGCAGCAAGCTAGCCGCCGACCCGTACAACCAAGAAAGAAAGGATCTTGAAAGGGGCATAACACACACCACTCCTATGAGAAGCTAAATCTCAATCATCTGATGCAGGGCTGATGTGTGCCTCGGATAGGTTCGACAGTGTGTTTCACTGCGCATCGTTCTGACGGGAGTTAGGGGAATAGGAAGTTAAGGGTAGACCGTAGAGAAGAGACAAAGGAGGGGAAGGGATAAGCAGGGTAGCGAGGGGTGAGTGCTAGACAGGGATGGGGGGCAACTGACATGGGAGAATAAAGTGCAAAGGAGGAGGACGGGAAGGGAGATACGTGACTGAACGGGAGGAAATTGGTTTGAGGTGAAGGGGAAACGCTGAGCACAGATACGCAGGGTAACGAGGGGTGTGTGGTGTGGTGTGTAAGGAGGACAGCATGGTTGAGCTAGCTTCAATGTGAGTGAAGTGAAGCCAACCTGTTTCACCCCCAACACCGCGCTCCCACTCACCACCCCACTAACCTCCCCCATTCCCAGCTCCTGCCATCCCATGTACCCCCACCCCTTCTCCTTCCTCCCACCCCAACTTCTGACCCAGCCCCTTCCCTCATCTCACCTCAACCCTCCCTGCCACACCTCTCCCTCTGTCTATCTGTCTCTAACTCGCACCTTGGCTTTGGAGCGCTGGCGGTGCAGCATGAGCCCTTCAAACACTGCACTGCCCCACATTTGAGAACTCTCATAAACGTATCGCTCACACACGCACCTTGGCTCTAAAGCGCACACACGCACCTTGGCTCTAAAGCGCACACACGCACCTTGGCTTTGGATCGCTGGCGGCGCAGCATGAGCCCTTCAAACACTGCACTGCCCCACGACCCCTTTCTCCTGCCCGCCCGCCGCTGCTCGTTCAGCTCCTTCTTCCCCACCACTCTCCGCCCCGCCACCACTGCTCCATCCCCATGCACCTCCCCAGGAGACCCCCACCCTCCATTCACAGGCACTTCCCCATGCCCTTCACCAGTCCCCATAACACTCCCTGTGACACTCCGTGTGACACTCATTTCCCCACTCCAGCCCCCTGCCTGCCCCCTCACTGCTGTTGTGTCAGTGCCACCACCAGCCCTCTCCTTCCAGCTTCCTGGCCTTTGCTTCCCCCACCCCCTTGCGAGCCCTTCACCCCCACCATTCACTTCCCCTGCACTCCCTTCCCTCTCCACCATGCCCTGTGCCATTTCTCCTCCCCTACCTTTTCCCCTTCCACCCCCTCCTCCTCCTCCACCCCCTCCTCCTCCACCCCCTCCTCCCCCGTCCCCTCCTCCTGCTCCTCCTGCCTCTGCTGACCCCTGTTCTCCGCCCATTCCCCCCACCCCCAACACACCAGCAGCACCAACAGGAGCAGACACCTGCCTATCTTTGGCAGAGAGCCGCTTGGGCACGTCAAGTCCCAGGGCAGCAGGGGCAAAGGGCAAGGGCACGCACCCAGGCCCGCAGAACAGCAGCATACGGTGCTGGAGCAGGGGCGAGAGGGGCGGGGTGAGAGGCGATAGAGGCGCCTCCGAGCCTGCTTGCTGCTCTTGCCGGGCTGGAGAGCCGAAATCCGAGCCCTCTCCCTGCTGCTGCTGCTGCTGCTGCTGCTGCTGCTGCTGCTGCTGCTGCTGCTGCTGCTGCTGCTGCTGCTGCTGCTGCTGCTGCTGCTGCTGCTGCTGCTGCTGCTGCTGCTGCTGCTGCTGCTGCTGCTGCTGCTGCTGCTGCTGCTGCTGCTGCTGCTGCTGCTGCTGCTGCTGCTGCTGCTGCTGCTGCTGCTGCTGCTGCTGCTGCTGCTGCTGCTGCTGCTGCTGCTGCTGCTGCTGCTGCTGCTGCTGCTGCTGCTGCTGCTGCTGCTGCTGCTGCTGCTGCTGCTGCTGCTGCTGCTGCTGCTGCTGCTGCTGCTGCTGCTGCTGCTGCTGCTGCTGCTGCTGCTGCTGCTGCTGCTGCTGCTGCTGCTGCTGCTGCTGCTGCTGCTGCTGCTGCTGCTGCTGCTGCTGCTGCTGCTGCTGCTGCTGCTGCTGCTGCTGCTGCTGCTGCTGCTGCTGCTGCTGCTGCTGCTGCTGCTGCTGCTGCTGCTGCTGCTGCTGCTGCTGCTGCTGCTGCTGCTGCTGCTGCTGCTGCTGCTGCTGCTGCTGCTGCTGCTGCTGCTGCTGCTGCTGCTGCTGCTGCTGCTGCTGCTGCTGCTGCTGCTGCTGCTGCTGCTGCTGCTGCTGCTGCTGCTGCTGCTGCTGCTGCTGCTGCTGCTGCTGCTGCTGCTGCTGCTGCTGCTGCTGCTGCTGCTGCTGCTGCTGCTGCTGCTGCTGCTGCTGCTGCTGCTGCTGCTGCTGCTGCTGCTGCTGCTGCTGCTGCTGCTGCTGCTGCTGCTGCTGCTGCTGCTGCTGCTGCTGCTGCTGCTGCTGCTGCTGCTGCTGCTGCTGCTGCTGCTGCTGCTGCTGCTGCTGCTGCTGCTGCTGCTGCTGCTGCTGCTGCTGCTGCTGCTGCTGCTGCTGCGTGGTGATCATGGTACTGTCGCTTTCGCTGAGAACAGACACGTGCATGTCCTGGCCATCGAGCCAGTCCCCCATGCTGCCTGCCCTCGCACTCCCCCTGGAAACAGCAGCAGCAGCAGCAGCAGCAGAAGCAGCAGTTGTGACAGGTGGTGCTTGCTTGACCCCTTGTGCTCCTGCTGCTGCTCCTGCTGCTCCTGCTGCTCCTGCTCCTGCTGCTGCTGCTCCTGCTGCTGCTGCAGTGCCTCCTGCCGAAGCTATGAGCCCAGCCCTGGAGGAGCAGGAGGAGGAGGCAGCACTAGTGAACGAGTGGGGGCGGGGGGACACAGGCGTGGGAATGCGGGGCAAAACAGCAGACGCATGGACTGTGGGCAGGCCGCGTGTCCCTGTGGCGAGTGCGAGAGAGGGGACAGCTGCTGCTGGTGATCCAGAAGAGAGGCCGGTAGACGCAGTCAGAGCAGCCCCAGCAGCAGCAAGCAGTAGCGCAGGACTGGCAGGTGGGGGATGGAAAGACGGCGTGGTGGCAGGGGCAGGAACGGGAAAGGGGGCAGGATGGTGTGTGGAGAAACCAGGGTGGTGGTGCGGAAGGTGCAGGTGGGGCAGGTGGGGCTGGTGCGGCTGCTGGTGGGGCAGGTGGGGCTGGTGCGGCTGCTGGTGGGGCAGGTGGGGGTGGTGGTGCAGGTCGGTGGCTTCGTCTTCGTCACTGTCGCTGGGAGACGAGTTATCGATAATGAGAATCTCTGACCGTACCGGTGGCTCCTCCACCTCCTGCTGTGCCTGGATCATGCCAGGATACACCTGCTGCAGCTGCTGCTGCTGCTGCTGCTGATGATGATGGTGCTGATGCTGATGATGCTGCTGCTGGTGATGCTGCTGCTGGTGATGCTGCTGCTGGTGATGCTGCTGCTGGTGATGCTGCTGCTGGTGATGCTGCTGCGGCGGCAGCTGTTGGTGGTGGTGGTAGTGGTGATCTGCAGGATGCATTTCCACTCCCACCTCATGCCTGTGCATCTCATGTGAAACCAGCACCCTTTCCCCTGACTTGCACGGGCTGGCGTGCTGAAACTCAAACGCCCCGTCCTCCCTCCCGCCCTCCCCGTCTCCACCCTGCGCCCCGCCCACCCCCCCACTGAGCCTCCCACTCAGCTCCCTTCTAAACTTCCTAAGGGAAACCTCCAGGGGAGGGGACGAAGGCCCTCCCGTGCGCCGCCACGCTCTCTCCACCTCTCCCTCTAGGTCACTGCCTAGGTGGGACAGCGGTGATCCTGAGGTTCTGTGGGATAGGGGAGAGCCCGACAAGCGTTGAGAGAGAGGAGAGCCTGACAGACGCTGGGAAAGCGGAGAGCCGGAGGTCCTGCGGGAGAGAGGCGGGGAGGGGGGGGCTTTGAGGGGGAACGCGGAGGTTGAGGCGTGGGGGGGTCGGGGGGAGAGAGGGGAGCCTGTCGCCCTGCGGGAGAGAGGCGGGGAGAAGGGCGCTTTGAGGGGGAGAGAGGAGGAGGAGGCGTGGGGGGGCCGGGGGGAGAGAGGGGAGCCGGAGGTTCTTCGGGAGAGGGGCGGGGAGGGGGGCGCTTTGAGGGAGAATGTGGAGGTTGAGGCCTGGTGGGGGCGGGGGGAGAGGGGTAGTGCGCGGGAGGAGGAGGGCACGGGGCGCGGGGAGGAGGGGAGGAGGTGAGGGGTGGCGGGGCCTGGGCGGGGGGAGGTGGGGAAGTGGCGTTGCTGCAGGGGTGGGGAGGTGAGGCGAAGAGAAGGGGCGTGTGCTGTTGGGAGTGTGCTGCTTAGTGTGCTTTCTCTTGCGCGGCCTCTGGAACCAATATCACCACGAGTAAAGGCGTTCATAGCAGCATCAGAACCACTGCCACAACTACTGCCACCACTAGCACTCCCAGCAGAACGGGCAGCAGCAACACCAGCAACACCACCACCACCACCAGCAGAAGCAACAGCCGGCCCATCATCATGACGACCCCACCACCCATCCGGGTCCTTCCACTCTGCTACTCTCCCCCTCCCTGCACCTCCCCCTCTGCCATCCCGCCGCGGTGTTACCAGCGCCTGCCACCTGCCTTGCGGGCCGTGGTGGTGCTGCTCCTGCTGGTGGGCGTGGGCGTGGGCGTGACTAAATGCGTGACTAAACGCGTGACTAAAAGCATGACTGAATGCCACACTATCCCGCCCACCAGCCCCACGGGCGGATAGAGGCCCCATAAGGTACCCCACTCCTCCTCCTCGCGTCCCTCTTCCCCAAATGTCCTCCTCGCTGTCCCCCTCCTCTCCCGCCGTTCCCCCTGCATCCTCCCCCTCCTCCCCCTCCTCCTCCTCCTCCTGCTCGCCCTGCCTTCTACCCAAGCTCTGTCCATACCGCTCTGTGCTTCTCGCTCCTCTCCCCCCGCGGCCTCTTCCCCCGTCTCTCACCACCCCCTGTCCCGGAAGCTGCAAGGGGTTAACTCTCACCACTGGCCGCCCTGCCTTGCCTCCTGCCCACCCTCTCCCTGCTGCACCTCTAGCAGCAGCACCACCAGCAGCAACACCAGCACCAACAAAAGCACCAGCAGCAGAGGCAGGGCTGAAACCACGAGTCGCTCTAGGAGACGAGAGCGCTAAGCCCCCTTGTCGCGGCACAGCAGGTCTGGGGGATGGTAGGGGGCCCGGGAGAGAGGAGGATGGGGGGAGGAGCACTGGGGGAGAGAACACACCTGCTTGGACGGTTGAGGGTAGGGAGGAGGAGGGCGGGAATTGGAACTGCTGTGGTTGGTTGGGAGTGAGGGAGCGGGGAGATGGGAGAGAGGACGAGGAGGAGTGAGAGAGGGAGTGAGAGTGAGAGTAGGAGTGGGAGTGAGAATTAGAGTGGGGAGAGAGGGAGGAGGAGGGGTTGGGGGGAGGTGGGGAGGCGGTGTGTTGCTCAGGGACGGTGTGTGGGAGGCCTGAGAGGGTGCGTGTGCGGCGGGTGGGGGGGAAGGCACTGGGTTGACTGGCACGAGGGGAGGGCTGCAGATGGTGGGATAGAGGCATGGAGGGGCGTGGAGAGGTCGAGTGGGAGGAGCGCGGGGACTGGGACGGAGAAGGAACGGAGTGGATGGAGTAAGGGAGAGAGGATTTCGACCGGTTAGGAGGGAGAGATTGCGGTGTGTGAGCGGGGTAGGAGCAGGCAGGGTCATGTGGTGCGGAGTATTGTTGTGGCATGTTCACGGCACAGCTGCTGCCACTGCCACCGCTGCTGCTGCTGCCAGTGCCATACTGCTGCGACTGCGCACCCACTCCCCATGACCGCGTGCGACCAGGCCCTCCCCTCACACCCACCCCTGCCCCTGCTGCTGCACCCGCCCCCCCCGTGCCATGCGATCCCATACCCCCGCCCATGCCCCCACCCATACCCCCACCCATCATGCCCTGCGTGCTGCTGATACCTCCCATGCCCCCGCCCATGGTCCCACCACCGGTGCCTGGTATGGCGTGCTGAGGCATGGCCCCCCCAGGGCCTGTCACAGACACCTGGTTCAACAGCCGCTTTGGAACACTCCTTGCCTTTCGGAACACCGCCTCCCTCTCGCCCCGCTGCTGCTGGTACTGCTGCTGGTACTGCTGCTGGTACTGTTGCTGGTACTGCCGCTGCTGCTCATAATGCTGCTGCTGCTGCTGCTGCTGCAGCGGCTGCTGTGGCTGCTGCGTCTCTCGCACACGACCACTGCCAGCACCCACCACGCCAGCGCCCTTGCCCCTCCCCATGCCCATGCCTGCCGTCAAACCCTCCCTCCCCCCCACCCCACCCCGCGCCCTCCCTGCCCCATGATCGTGCGGTGCCATCTCTCCCCCACGCCCCCCATGCCCCCCATCCCCCTCACCCTCCTCATCCTCCCATCCATTCAATTCGATAAAATCGTCCTCCTCCTCCTCCACACTTCCTTCCTGCCACGTGTGCGAGCTACTGCTTCCGGGCAGCCCGAAAACACTTCCACCTGCCCAGCTGGGATCAGGCTCAGCCGTTGTATTGTGGTTGCTGTCAGTCCATGCCCGTCGAAGGGGGGGGAGAGACCCTGACTGCGGATAGTGCTGCTGCTGCTGCTGCGACTGCCTCTGCTGATGCTGCAGCAGCTGCTGCTGCTGCTGCTGCTGCTGCTGTTTCTGCTGCTGCTGCTGCTGCTGCTGCTGCTGCCAAAGCGACACCCCCCCTGCTGCTCCGCCTCCTGCTGCTGCCACTGTCTTATGATGGGCCCCACGGGGGGACAGGGAAACCGCGTGGTGCAGTCGCTGCTGCTGCTGCTGCTGCTGCTGCAGGTGATAATCCATTCGCCCCGCAGCAGAAGCAGCAGCAGCATGGGGGGGAACAGAAGCGAGTCCCGTAGAAAGGGCGAGAGACGGAGAGGAGGAGAAGGAGCGTGGGAAGGCAGCGCCACGGGCAGCAGAGGCAGCAGAGGGAGAAGGGGCAGCAAAGGCCATGGGACTGTGTGCCCAGGGGAGTTCGCCTCTTTCCAACAAACGCACCGACTCCTCATCTTCCTCCTCTCCCCCCTCCCCCTCCTCCTCCCCTTTTCCCTGCGGTTTCCTCCCTCCAACGCCTCCACCCCCTCCTCCTCCTCCTCCTCCTCCTCCTCTTCCTCCTCCTTTTCCGCCTACTCCTGCACTACTACCCTCCTCACTCGCCTCCTCCCAATCGCCCCCTCCTCCTCCCACCCTCCCCTCCTCCTCTTCCCAAAACTCCTCTCCCTCCTCCTCCGCGGCTTCCTCCTCTTCCCCCTCTCCCTCCTCCTCCTCCTCCTCCTCCTCCTCCCACACAGAATGTCCCCCTCTCAGCCTGCTGCTGCTGCGGGTATCCCCCACGGGGCTTCTGGGGATGCTATCCCACACGCGGGACCGCTGAGGCGCCTTTTGAGCCGACTCAAAAGTATCCCCCACGGGGCTTCTGGGAATGCTATCCCACACGCGGGACCGCTGAGGCGCACTGGAGGCTTTAGACAGGCGCCGGGAAGCAGAGGCGGAGGAGGAGGCGGAGGGGTGTGGGGGGAAGGAAGGCGCGCGCGGGGGGAGCGGGGCAGGGGGGTGCAAGGGGTGGGAGGCGCGGCGAGGGGCAGTGGAAGGAGCGGGTGGGATGGTTGATGGGGAATGGGGATGGGGATGGGGGAGAACGTGTGGTGGTGAGGGTAAGGGTATGCTGTGCTGGCAGCAGGAGTGGGAGGAGGAATGGGAGGCCATGTGCTGCTGCTGTGGCTGCAGCTGCTGCTGGTGCTGCTGCTGGTGGTGGTGCTGCTGGTGGTGCGGGTGGTGGTGGTGAGGGTGGTGGTGGTGAGGGTTGTTACTGTGGTACGGGCAGCAGGAGGGGTGCACTGGGGGAGACGAGAGAGAAGCAGGCAGAGGAGCCGAGAGGGAATGCGGGAAGGAGGGGGGAGCAGCAGAAGCAGCAGAAGCGGAGCAGGAGCAGGGTGGATGAGGCGGGAGGGAGTGAGGAGAGCAATCGGGGTGGGAGGGAGGGGGGTAGTGGTGGTGGTGGTGTTGACAGGCGCCAGCAGCACAGCACACTTGGCCTGCTGCAGTGAAACCACCGCATTGCTGCTGCTGTTGCTGCAGCGGCTGCAGCGGCTGCTGCTGATGATGCTGCTGCTGATGATGCTGCTGCTGTCGCTGCTGCTGCGAGCTTTGGTGGCTCTGATTGCGATGAGAATTGCCCTCCCTCTGTCTCTCCTTGCGCCTCTCCGCCTGCCACTCCTCCTCCAGTTCCTCCAGCACCTCTCGCTGCATCTGCTGCACTTCCCAGCTGCGCTGCGCCACACTGTGCCCGAACCACCCACCCGAACCAGAACCACCCGAACCAGAAACGCCCGAACCAGAAACACCCGAGCCAGAAAGTCCAGAGCTAGGAAGTGCTCCATGCGATTCCTCGCCGTCACTGGAGAGATAATCACAGCCGTCGATTGGTGCGCGGGCACTTGTAGTAGCAACAGACGCTGACCCGCAGTGCTGTCGCTGCTCCTGCTGCTCCTGCTGCTGCTGCTGCTGCTGCTGCGGCTGCGGCGGCTGTGGCTGTGGCTGCTGGCGCTGCTGCAGTGGCGGGTGCGTTAAGTGCGTGTGCTGCGCCTGTTGCTCTGACTCCACAGCCGCAGGACGCAGCTGCAGAGAGTGGGGGTGCAGCGACGAGAGGGGCGAGGAGGACAAGGATGGAGAGGAGGGGGAGGAGGGGGACGAAGGGGAAGGGGGGGAGTGAGGGGAGTGAGGCGAGTGAGGAAGGACAGGGGAGCGCTGCTGCTGCTGGTAGCAGGCACGAAGGATGGAGACGTTGCGCAGCAGCACTGGCCCTGGTTCAGCTGATTCTGACGACGTACACCCCTCTGCCTGATGCTCCTTCTCCTCTTCCCCTCCCTGCTCCTGCTCCTGCTCCTGCTGCTGCTGCTGCTGCTCCTGCTCCTGCTCCTGCTGCTGCTGCTGCTGCTGCTGCTGCTGCTCCTGCTGCTGCTGCTGCTGCTGCTGCTGCTGCTGCTGCTGCGGCGGCTGTGGCTGTTCCAACTGCTGCTTCCCCAGCTGCTGCTGTTGGCTTTCCTCCTCCGCCTGCTTGCTTGCTGCCCCTGCCTGTGCCCCTGCCTGTGCCCCTGCCTGTGCCCCTGCCTGTGCCCCTGCCTGTGCTCCTGCCTGTGCCCCTGCCTGTGCCCCTGCCCGTGCTTGCACCATCCCCTGTGTGCTCTCGTCTCTATCCACAGCCTTTTCCTTCTTCGTCCCTGATTCTTCTCCTTCCCCACAGCCTCCTCCCCCCGCAACACCTCCTCTCTCCGCACCCCCTTCTCTCTCCACCCCTCCCACTCCCCCCACCCCCGCGCGCCCACCGTCCGCGTCCGCCTCCCCGCGCCCCTGGTTCTCCTGCGCCTGCGCCTTCCGCATCTCCTCCCGCCGCCGCTGCCTCTGCTCCGCCCACAGCTGGTGCAGCCGCACCTGCTGCAACGTGCGCTGCCGCTGCTCCTCCGCCAACGCGTCCTCCTCCGCGTCCCCCGCGCCCCCCGCGCCACCCTCCGCGCCCCCCGCGTTCAGCCGCGCTCTAGCAGCTGCGCTGTTCAGCGCCCCGCGGGGCTCTGTAACAGACTTGCGCAGCACTCTCCTGGCGCTGGCGTTCCCGCTGCTACTGCCGCCCGCTCCGCCTCCTGTCGCCTTCCCCTGCCCGCGCCCCCCGCCGCGCCCACGAGCCTGCGGTCCTTCCGCGTGCCGTTGCTCTTCCCGCGGCTCCGCCTCTCCGCCCTGCCTCCCCTTGCCCTCCCCCAACATCTGCTCGCGCGCCCTGCCCCCCGCCCTCCCCCGTCCTCGCCCGCGCGCTTCAGCCCGTCCGCGGCCTTCCCCTCCCCTCCCGCCTTCCCCACGCCCTCGTCCCCGCCCGTCTCCCCGCCCTCTGCCCGCGCGGGCGTCCGCCTGCGCGCCCGGCTCCGCCGTCGCCCCCAGAAGTCGCGCGGATGGCGCCGTGCCAGGCTTCAGCCGGCGGAGGGACACGCTGCGCTGGAAACCTGCGCCCGCGCTCCTATCCGCAGCCCTACCAAGCGCAACGCCCTCCGCCGCACTACCGCCCGCATCTTCTCCTCTCGGCGGCGGTTGCCTCTGCTGCTGTTGCTGTTGCTGTTTGCGCAAGTCGCTGGTCGCAGCACCCGGCGCTGTGGCGCCGTCGTCGCCTTCCGCCGTCGCCCGCTCACCCCCCTCAGCTGCGCCAGGCGCGCAACTCGCGTGCGCGCGTCTCCCCGTGCGCACAGTCTCCCGCACCGCACCAGGTGCAGCTTCAGCGGAACCAGACGCGCTCGTCAGCGACGCGGCTGGCGGAGCCGGCCCCGCGGGGAGACTCCCCGCGTGCGCCAAGGACCCTTCTGGCCGCGCGCCTTTTCCGCTGGACGAGTCGTTTCGAACGGGCGGAGTAACCCCGCTCGCCTTTCCCGCCTCGCGCGCCTCTCGCGCCTCTCCCGCCTCTCGCGCCTCTCGCGCGTCTTTAATCTCTACACCTTCCTCTGCCGCGTCTGGACTGGTTCGCCCATTCAGAATCGCTGCATCGCGCGGAGGGCCCTCGCGACATTCAGCGAACGACGCTGTAACCTGTTTCGGCGAAATATTATTTATCGCAATCCCGTTCGCAGGGGATGAACGAAGCAGCTCGCCGGCGCTTGCTTCCAAAGCTTCCGCTTCCGCTTCCGCTTCCGCGATCCCTGCGACGCGCACGCCCATCCGCAAAGCAGCGCCACCATCAGCGTGAGCGATAGCGCTATCCTTGCCCCTACCCCTATCCCTACCGCTACCGCTACCATTAACGCTACTATTAGCACCGCTAGAGCGTTCTTTGCGCTCTAACTCGCAAGAAACGGCACCATTAGATGAAGGAGCAGGCGGGGTAGGAGGACGAGGAGGCGGCGAGTCGGGCTGTTGCCGCGCCTGGCGCTCCTCGGAGTTTAGAGCGCCGGGCTCTGCCGCTTGAAGAGACGATACGGATGTTGAATCGGTGGGGTAGGGTGAAGAGTGGCGTGTCCTACTCTGCGACGCGGTTCGAGCGAGTACGAGGCGCGGAGGCGCCTTCGCGGTGCCGTCCTCCCGCCGAGCTTCCACCACTTTCAACCGGTATACACCTGGCGGCTCTTTCTCCGGTCGTTCGGGTGTCGCCATCCAATGTGTTACTTCCGCCATTTCGATTTACTACACTCTAGTAAGTGGAACGAGGGCTAGACTCGATAAGGGCATTCGCGTTATGAGCCGATATCACGACGTGACGCCCTCCACCAGGCGACGGAACCACGTAATCGCATCACGTCGTCTGAACGATCGTCTACGAGGAATCTTTTTCGCGGAAGCGCCATCCGAGACGCAACAATCAGGTGTTCCGGCCTTACGAGTCGCGACAACTAGGTCAATATTGGCCGACCAAGAAACATGCCGCTTCCGCCGCCCATTCTCCGACGCGCAGACAGGCTTCAAGGTGATTGAGTCGGCAAGGCGGGGAGCGATATCCGCGCGACGATTAGACGGGGTAAGTCATGAGTAAGCAAACGAAGGGGTGGGGTTGCGGGAGGAGCGAAATTGAGCGGGATGGAGGTGGGGGGAACCGTGGGGTGGGGAGGGGAGGGATTCACGGGAATGAGCTGTCGGTAGGATTGACCTGGCCGTCCTTGGCGAGAGGCTCAAAAAGCAAGCAGGTGCTGTACGCCAATGGCACTGTAGAGGCATCGTAACGTAAACGTCATTTCTGCACCACGAGAGTGTTGGCCTGGTGTGCCCGCGCGTAACCGTGCTGAGAGGATGCGTTGCGTGTTCCCCCTGGTTGGAAGCAATGCGTGTACAGTACAACACAACACATTGCAGGTACTGTACTGTACAGTATCTCTGCCAAGGCAGTGTGACGGTGTCATAACTCAAGCCCGTACGCAGTCAGAACTGACCGCCAGCCGGCCTTGCTCCACACTCCAAAGCAAACACCCCTTTTCAAGGTGTTTTTGCATGAGCTACCTCGAAAATCAAGTGATACCCTGCTCGAGTGGGTCAACCGCCGAATGGATTGAAAGGCCCCGACATTGCATTCCTCGACATACGGTATTTTCCGTCTCTGAGCCGAGTGTTTGCATCTTCGAATGCAAAATCGTTAGTTGCCACTCCGTCCGCAGCAACAAGGGGGTGCTGCTGGAGGGCAGCCAGCCATAGGCGAACCCCTGCGGTCGGGTTACGAACGAAGTCGTGTTCCTCGCACGGTGCTGGCTTGATTTCGAGCTGGTTTGGTCTTGCGGATTGCCTGAGATCAACGAGACGAGAGGGTCCATGATGATCCCATGAAGTGTCGTACGCTGTCGTTGGTGTCGATTCTGTCGTGCAAAACTGCTGCACGAACCCAAAGAAACTCTCACTGCCCAACCAGGCAACAACCAACATCGCACACCGCCAGCGAAATCGTTCGTTCGTGCCAACTCTCCCCATAGCGACCAACAGCAATGAAGGGGACTTGTTGCAAAAATACAAAATACGGCTTTGGACACACCCTCGCGGCGATTGAACACGGCTTGGTTGGAATGGTGGGAACACATTTGTATGCGGTACATGCAATGCCACGGAACAAGGGGAAACTGTTCTTTTCTACACCTACATGCATTATACTTTTTTTCCTTCAAAATTTGCATGACCCAGGTCACTTCGTCATGGCTCAAGAATATGTTTAAAACGAATCAAATAAACCATCGAACTGGCTCGGCAAAAATCAAATCAAACCACATCGAACGCAATATGCGGGTAGACGGTTGCGCCGTCGAGCATATTGTGCATATGCCCTGGTCAACGGTTGTGCTAGATGCACAATGTTGTGCACGTGCTGCTCAACACACAGGCCGACTTCGTTAAAGCCACCTGGGGTGAGGTTCTAGCACCCCCGCAAAACTTCGTCGACCAGGTTACCATGTTGACAAGAAGAGGCCGCCAGGTCAGCTGATTTTGACAATCGTCGATACACGTAGATCCACATACAACTTTGTTGACCGGTGAGCCTAACGCTCGTCGACTTTACTTCATCTGCGTCATTAGAGCACTCTTGTCGAAGTCGAAGTTTTGGTCGACTTTCTCTTCCAGGTCGAGGCAAACCACCATGTCCAGCCAGCCGCACACCTTCTGCGACGGTTAGCAGTATGCGCTTCGCCCAAGCAAGAGCGAGGCATCTTCTTGTCAACACTCGCCTGCCCAGTTCAAGTATGGGCATCCACACGCACGCAAGGTCCGCTCGGAATCTTTGTAATAGAGCACTCCAATCACCGCATCAGCCATGCTGAAGAGCATGGCGTTTTTTGCTGCATGTCCTCGCCGACGATGACCATGCGCACTTGGCTGACTGCGACGGAGCGCCAGTTGAAGGGCAGAAGTGCATCACCTTAGGGAACATTCCTCTGGGGACATTTGTGTCTCAATCACTTTGTGACACCCAAAAACAGCATAAAATATATTGTGTCCCAAATGCGAGTCGCGTTTCAGTGACCGTACCTGTATTTTTTATTGGTCGGCGTGAAACACGCTGACATCGCTAACGAATTGCAAATCGACCCATCAATGTTAAAAATTCGAACGAGATTCGAAATGTCCGCGAAGTCCACATGGACACACAACAACGCCAAATTTCGCGAGGGAAAAAAATCCCGCGCAGCAACACCACATCCCTGACCGTTCGGTAGAAAAAACAGGTGTACAGTGATTTGGGTTACCCAATCAAATGCGCACAAGTGTGCTTTTCCCCTGGCCGTCTAGTGTTGCGACACATTCATGTTTTGTGACGCGAGGTTAACAAAATGTCTCAACGCGGCTCGGGAAGAACGGGATTGAGACACAAATGTCCCTATAAGAATGTTCCCTTATAAGAACATCCTCCGGCTACTCTGTCGTTGGGACGTTCTGGATCACAATCTTTTTGTGCTTCACAATCTGATTAAGGCTGCCCTTCAGCCCCAAGCCTTCAGTCACCGTAATGGCCGACTGCTTGTCTACGTCCAGGACGCTTGGCATCCCAGCTTTGAGAAGCTTGAACTCAACAAGGATGAAGCAAAGTTGGCGTCCGTTGCCCGCTTCGGTCGCAGCGCTGTACTCCGACTCAATCGATAACAGTGACACGCACTTAATAAGCTGGCTCGTGCTGGAGACCCCTGCACCGACGAAGACGAATATGTAGCCGTTCATGCTGTCAGAATCCCAGCCACTAACCACTGGGATAAAAGGGCTTGTTTATATAGCGGGTGAGTGCGCCCATAACCCCCCAGGCTGACGTGCCTGTAACCCTTCCCTAGGATCATCGGGGATCTCCAGTGGACCTCTGACACCCCCCCGCACTGGGATGCCCGAAGTGCACACACCGGGAATCGAACCCGAGACCTTCGCTCTGATACCATGTCAGAATCCCAGCCACTAACCACTGGGATAAAAGGGCTTGTTTATATAGCGGGTGAGTGCGCCCATAACCCCCCAGGCTGACGTGCCTGTAACCCTTCCCTAGGATCATCGGGGATCTCCAGTGGACCTCTGACACGTGCTGCTACGTATCTGCTTGTATTCGGCGTCTACGTAGCCTACTAGACATGGAGATTTAGGTCTGTCGCTGAACTCTAGGGCGACATCGCGTGCGTCAGCCAGATAGGCGAGATAGCCGTCGACCTTGCGCCAATGCTTGTTGCTCCTTACTGTTAGGCTGGTCCTTAGCTTGGTGCACGTGAAGGAGATATCAGGTCGAGTTGTGGTGGCGACAAGCTGCAGCGAGCCAAACTTCTATCGATACTCCTCTATCTCGCACAATTGAATGCAATTGTTGGTACTTCTCTATCTTGTTGTCAAAGGTTGCTCTGCGTAGGCGTCGAAAAGATTGCCTATTTGGACGCCGACCAGACCGCTCCTTGTTGATAAAGCACCTTGCGTAGCTTGTCGACATAAGACTGCTTGTGGAGCTACAACTTCCGTACAGGGCGGCGTGTACGGTCTCCATCCCTAGATACTTCTTGATCAGTCCGATCTTGCATAGCCAAAAGACGCTCTCAAGCAGCTCATGAAACTCCTTCAGCATTACAGTGCTACTACTGGCGATGAGAAGGGTGTTAACATAAGTGAGCACCCAGCACGCCACTCCGTTGTCGCTGACCTTGAAGTAGAGAGTCTCTTCTGCCTGGCTTCTTTTCCAGTCGGCTCCGGTCACCACAGCGTCGAGTGCTGAGTACTACAGTAGCGGGCTCTGCTAGAGCCCATACAAACTCTTCAGAAACTTGCACACGCGGCCATCGACGTCGTTGTAGTAGGCCAACTGGTTCATGTAGAGCATGCGGTCCAACTTACTCTGCAAGAAGGTGTCCCTCATGTCGAGCTGCATGAAGTGCACGTCGAAGGCAACGACAATGGAGAGGAAAATCCTCAGTGTGACACAACTCCCGACAGGCGCACATGTCTCATCGTAGGCGGTGCTGTTGACATGCGTGAAGCCCTTCACCACCAAGTGTGCCTTCTCGTGAACAACGACCTCTTCGCTTTAATGCGTCTGCTTTTGGCAACATTAACGGTCCCGGTCGTGTCTATACCGGGGATCATCTTTTTACTCCTCATTGCATAGCATTTGTGCTTCGCTGGCTTAAGGAAAATAGTATTGGCAATGTCAAGAAAGCTAGGCGAGAAACAGGAAAGAGGGGTTTTCTCTAGCAGGCAGTCGAGTACATAAAGGAAACCCTAATTGGGTTGTACTCGCTATAGAGTACCCCACTGCAGGCTAGACAAACATCACATTCTGACACAACCCCATAATCAAAGTGGGGTATAATCAGCACAACACGAAGGCAGAGCAATAGTTCACAATTATAAGCAAAGCTAGAGGCTATCACAGAGAGCAAGTAAGGATGAGGAGAAACTGTGGGGGCGAGAAGATGAGAGACGACGGCTGAAGCTGCAGACACACGGGCAACAGGAGTGCGCAGCACTGTCGCTACCAGGCTAAACCCGGACTACACGGCGACAGGCGCAGCTGGCTCGCTGTGCTCCCAGGAGTGCGCAGCACTGTCGCTACCAGGCTAAACCCGGACTACACGGCGACAGGCGCAGCTGGCTCTCTGGACTACAGGCGCTGCGGACGACAAGACGGCTGCCTCCACTCAACTTCCCCCAGCTGTCCCACACCCCTTTCACACACCCCCTGCTGTACCTCTAGCACTGCTCACACGCCACCCCCCTCGTACCACTCCGACGGCTCCAACACATCCACCCCCCTCAGCGGCAGCTGCAGCAGTGGGAGACGGAGGAGGAGGAGCAGGGGACGGCACACACACCCGTCACCCCCATACTCGCCACCCCCACACTCGCCACCCCCAAACCCTAACACAGGCAGCAGCGGAGGTGCGCGGGCAGCACCTCGGGGGATGGCGCGCGGCTCCCCAGCGCGCTGCGACGGGGCAGCGGGGGGCCGCCCCAGGGCGTCGCGACGAGGCAGCGGGGGCCGCGCGTGGCTCCCTAGGGCGTCGCGACGAGGCAGCGGGGGCCGCGCGCGGCTCCCCAGGGCGTCGCGACGGGGGAACGGGGGTCGCGTGAGGCTCCGCGGGGCGACGTGACGGTCGACAGGGGACGACGCGCGGTTCGACGGGGCAGAAAACCGCCGCGCGCCCCGCCGCGCGCTCTGAGCGCGCGGCAGGCAGAAAACATCGCGCACGCCGGGCGTGCAGTAGGCAGAACAGCAGCGGAAGCATAGGACGGGACCACCCACAGGATCGACCCAGGAGGGTCGACCTGCTCTGATACCATGTCAAGAAAGCTATGCGAGAATCAAAAACAGGAAAGAGGAGTTTTCACTAGCAGGCAGTCAAGTACATATAGGAAACCCTAATTGGGCTGTACTTGCTATAGAGTACCCCACTGCAGGCTAGACAAACATCACATTCTGACAGGCAGGAGTGTTGATCGTGCTGAGGACAGAGGAGAGGCATACGGCAGATGCGACTGTAGTTATACAAAATACGAGGATGTAAAAGGTGCAGAGGAACAAGCCACCACCAGCCCCATGCAAATTATTTCCACGTGCTCCTTATTGTGCCACACTAGTATTAAAAGTACATTCAGGCCGTGATAAGTCAAGAAAGAAAGTGTCACAACATAAACCCCTCTTTGCAACTAACTATGGTTCTTCGAAACCAGTATTCGTGACTAACAGTGATGCTCCTAAACAGGGCCTATGTTATCAGGATAAATTATCCTGATTCTCCTGAATTCAGGATAGGTGTCGTGTGCTTCTCCTGAAAAAACAGCATAAAGGAATCTCTTGTCCTGTAAAATCAGTATAATGATTAATTTGCGTACTGGAAACTCAGGATAACGCTGTAGGTTCAGCCCTGACGACTCAGGATTGTGTCGAATCTCGCCCTGAAGCGAGATGTACTGTACGAAAAATCTCCTGGATTTCGGGGCCTAAGATGTGTATAGTTGAGCACCTCATACATTGAGGCCCTGTTTGGCAGGCGCATGAGCAGAGGCTTGGAAATGGGCTACACTTGCATGACCAATCGGGGTACTTCCGAGCTAAGCGGTTGATCGGCTATCAAGCCCCGGGATAGGCGCATGAGCACCTAAGCAAAATGATTTTGAGTGACTGCCGAACAGTGTTTTTTGTTACATGTTTGGGAATCGAACTTGGTTCCTGGAACCATCCTCCCCTGGCAAACCGACGCACCACTCATGCGCGCATGGTGCGTCGTGGAGAGGTAGCATCCATGCGCGCATGAGTGATGTGGGGCAGCATTGAAGATTGTATAGGTTGCTCATTGGTAGGCAGTCAGGGAACCGAGCAGGCGACCTCTTATGTGATAGACTAACGCTTTACCCGCTACGACACTTCACGACAAGAAATGTCGAAAACCAAACTTCTGTGCACATCCCGACACTTCTGATTTTCTATAAACTGCCCTGAGGCCTCAGTGTACCCCCAAACGAATCTGAGGCCCTGCTCCTAAACAATAATCGTGACTGATTGTGATACACTGAACCATGAACAGTCACGATCTAGCAAAATGTATTACTATGAATGGTTGTTTACTTGCTGTTCATAATTTTAGAGTATCACAATTAGTAATGATTGTTGTTTCCGAGTATCACAATTATTTCGCTAATACATTTCTAACCCTCCTCGACATGTCACGTCCCTAATGCACCCTAAGGAGACTACATACGTGTGGATCCTCATGAAATGAGTGCCAAGGTTGGAACATCCCGATTGGTACTTTCTAACGTTCAATCGCCTTGGACTAGCTATTCTTACTAAATAATATATGCTACGTTTCTCACAACCTGCTCGGAACGCACCAGAAGTCCAGCCACTCTGACTCACCCTACAATTCCCCTCTGAGCTGGTAGTGCCCCCTCCACGTCGCCGTAGATTCCCATGGCAACCAGAACCGCCGTCGCAGCGACGCGGTCTTCCGCGCTGCAGCGGCTTCTCGCCCCATCCGTAAACCCTACTGCGCGGACCGAGTCCCACCTTTCCCCGTTGTGGGTGAAGTCTTTTATCCCCTTCGGCGCCTCAGCGGCCGGTGGGCACATATCGCTCGCACACACCCGCCTGTTCAACGCGGCAGCGGCAGATTCGGCTGAAGGAGGCAGCACGTCTGCTTCACCGCCTGAGGCTGCGTCAGGTAATGAGACAAGCAGAATCGGGGTTGGAAGATTTCGCCTTTCCCCGTTCTCCAAGCAGAAACCGGATTGGCGGACAAATCGGGTTAGAGCAGAAACCGTGAGGGCGAGAATCGGGTTAGAGCATTAACCGGGAGGTGAAGGGTCGGGGAGAGTGGCGATGGTTGGGCATGGTCAAGGAACTTGGTTGCGGTCCAATGGCGCCCAATGGCGTGTGCGCCATTGGACCACACACTGTAGGTAACCGGATCGCTGTTGGACCACAAATCTGATCGCTTTGTTACCTAGAATGCCTCCGTGTAGCAACCAACCTGTTACCGGGGCAAGTGCGCCATGGATGGTCATCGCGGGTGAGGGTGAATTTGCGCGGTCCGCTTCTAACCGTTGCTCAGGCAGAGGGTGCTGCTTCTGGCTGATCGGTGATACAAGGAATGGCTCTCTTTTCTTGAGTGCGCTACGAGTCTTTCTCATTACTTCATTGCGGCTACTGACATGCCATGACACATTTATTCAGGCAACTCGCCATTGCGTTGATGTGGAAAGGCACCCACCTCCATTCACGTGTCCGTGCGTGGATGTGTTTCACTCCCCCTTCTTAGAACCCGTTCATTTGTTCTCTCTCTCTCTCTCTCTCTCTCTCTCTCTCTCTCTCTCTCTCTCTCTCTCTCTCTCTCTCTCTCTCTCTCTCTCTTTCTCTCTCTCTCTCTCTCCCTCACCTGCTCAATCTATTTGTCTCACCCTCAGACATTCTGATCTCCTTAACGACCCCCACCACTTCCCAGACCTTCCTCCCCACCACAATCTTCTGCACTTGTACTATTTTCCCGCTCTTTTTGCTTCCCCCATGCCCATCAGACCCGATATCTGTGAGCGACTTTGTTCGTGCGGTGGGGGGAGGGGTGGAGACAAACGCGGACAAGGTGGCTGCCGAGATCTCGTCACTGTCGCAGCTGCTTTCAACCCGATCAGGGAGGCTGAAGAAGATCGGCTTGCCATGCCAACAGGTCAGTTTCTTTTTAAGCCATGAGTAGCAGGGTATGCCCGTTGGCAGGATGTACTGCTAGTTGTGCTCGCAAGTCATTCCTCATCTGGTCCTTTGTTCCCCGTTCCCTTGTTCTTGGCTATGGTGGTATTATTTTTTCTGTCAGAGAAAACGGCTTTTGAGCTATTTGGAGAAGTACAAGCAATGTGAATGGGCGCCTTCATAATAGAATTTCTGATCTAGAGTACCGGTACGGTATCTCTTAGGGAACTTGGATATAGTAAATAATTGTTTCAATATACACATAACACTTGGTCCAATAACGCTGTGAGCAGTTATCGAGTGTTCGAATCTTCCTCTCCAGGACGGACTGTTCTTCGTGTCAGAAGCGCGCCAAGCTGTTTGAACCATGGGTGGCCCAGATTGCTGGGATCAGCGCTCCGTGCTTCGCTTGGGCTTGGATCTCCCCGCCTGCACTAAAATCTGACCTACACTGTCCTGCTCCAGTTTCAGCCTCCAATCCGAAGTTGCATTTAGTTCTGGTCCTGTGAAATCATCTGGTCGCCCAGCTCTTTCACTTGCACAAGGCAACGATAGTCGATTGGGAAAAGCATTTGCTATTGTCTCAGTAAAATCTTCCAGCCATGAATATCTTTAGGCTTGCAGGTGACATGACTCACCTGCTGAGTGTCGTCGTCCTCCTCTTGAAGATTATCACGATGAAGTCGTGCGCAGGTAAGTGTTGTATTCACCGTTAGTGGTGGCACGAAGAGGTGGACTGGTTCTCATGGTCCGTATCCGCGTTCTTTTCGGGTGCTCGTGTGATCCGCTGTTATGGGGGGAACAGGAATATCGCTGAAGACGCAAGAGCTATACGTGATGGTTTTCGTGACCAGATATTTAGACCTGTTCTACGCTTTCGTATCCGTCTACAATTCCGTTATGAAAGTGATATTTCTGGCGAGCTCGTTCGCGATCGTCTACTACATGCGTTACGATAAGATCGTGAAGCACAAGTACGACAAGGAGCATGACACATTCAGACACGTCTTCCTCGTCATTCCATGCCTCGTGTTGGCGTTGCTGGTCAATAGAAAATTCACCGTTACTGAGGTAAGTGCATCTGCTCTTCCTCGTGACGAATTCGAAAGTTCCAGTCGCTTCGAATCTCTACGTAGCCTCCGTTTTTCCCTAGGAATGGTGAATCCCGTGGTCTAACCCTAGCCGCGATTGGTAACAGGTCTTGTGGACGTTCTCCATTTACCTCGAGGCGGTCGCGATTATGCCTCAGCTCGTACTTCTTCAGCGGACCAAGAACATTGACAACCTTACAGGGAACTACGTCTTCTTTCTGGGGTACGTACGCGTTCGTTCTGGGGTACGTACGTGTTATTTCTGGGGTACGTGCGTGTTCTTTCTGGGGTACGTACGTCTTCTTTCTGAGGTACGTACGTGTTCGTTCTGGGGTACGTACGTGTTCGTTCTGGGGTACGTACGTGTTCGTTCTGGGGTACGTACGTGCCCGTTCTGGGGTACGTACGTGTTCGTTCTGTAGTACGTACGTGTTATTTCTGGGGTACGTACGTGTTCGTTCTGGGGTACGTGCGTGTTCGTTCTGGGGTACGTACGTGTTCTTTCTGGGGTACGTACGCGGTCTTTCTGGGGTACGTACGCGTTCTTTCTGGGGTACGTACGCGTTCTTTCTGGGGTACGTACGTGTTCGTTTTGGGGTACGTGCGTGTTCGTTCTGGGGTACGTACGTGTTCGTTCTGGGGTACGTACGTGTTCGTTCTGGGGTACGTACGTGTTCGTTCTGGGGTACGTACGCGTTCTTTCTGGGGTACGTACGTGTTCTTTCTGGGGTACGTCGGGAAGCCGTTTGAACATCAAGAAGGGTGTGGTCCGGATACAGCCATTGATTCATTCATCTTGTGTGTTTTGCATTCTTCATTTTCCAGGGCATATCGAGGTTTCTACATACTCAACTGGATCTATCGTTACATTACTGAGCCACACTACAAGCAATGGATCGGTGAGCACTCTTCTTCCATCTCCACGTATGCTTTTGCTTTTACAACACTTTAAATTCCTATGACTCATGACCATGTGTCCCATTATGGACTATGTCATATCTCCATGTGACTGCCAGTTTGGATATCTGGATTGGTCCAGACAGCACTATATGCGGACTTCTTTTACTACTACATCATCAGGTAAGTCTTCACTGGTCATTTCAGAATAGAGATTTGCAAATAGGAGTGGCGCTTCACTAATTATTGTCTTGTGCCCGTGGCTGCAGTTGGAAGAACAACAAACGGTTGAGTTTGCCTGCGTAAATGGCAAATGTTACAACAAAACTTCAACAAATACCCCTAGAGAGCTAACTTCTTTGGTCCGCTTGCATTTGGCAAAGTGCACTAGCTACAAGCAGAGATAGTTTTTGTAGAACAAGGCTGTAGCTTGGCCCGAGGCCAAGTGCTCAGAGCCTAACTTAGCATTTTCTGTTAGGAGGCAAATACTAGTGCAGCAGGACACGTAGAGCATAGGTGACTAGTAACCTAACCTTTGTTTTGATGCTAGACACAATCACTGGAGCTGCTGGTGGTGGCGGTATAGGAAATGCATTCAACGCATTGTGAAGCCATGCAAAAAAAAGTGTAGCACTTCTGTAGGTCCTGGTGCTAGCCGCACAACGCTATATTGCTACTTCCGTGTGAATATCTTTCACTTCCGGTATAAAGATTGTTAGAGCTAGAGCACAATTCATCACTTTAGGTAGCTGGCAATGATTGGCAAAGCAGGATTTCAATCACCAGCAGAGGATAGCAGCATCCATGAAAGGCATTTCACTGAACAGCTTCAAGAAGCAGGAGCAGGTTTGTCAGAGTAGCTGAGAGCGTGGATCACTTGCAGGAGAGAGGGAAGCGACTCAGCAATTGGTGCTGAGGAGAGGTTGTGGAAGATGGGGCAGTTGTAGTCGATGGAGGGAACTAGCCAGGGAGAGACAGCAGCTATGAAGGAATCCACGTGCGGGGAAAGGATAGCCTCCCAGTCAACCTGCAGAGAGAAGGGGACAAGGGGGTGAGGAGAAGGTGCTTATAGTGAAAGATAAGTTTTATGAGAAATTAATTCTACCGTAGTTCAATGTGTGTGGGTGAGTTAGCCACTCATGATATCAGCCCATCTCTTTTGCCCATGAGTCTCACTCCTAATATCCATGAGTCTCACTCATGCTGCTCTGCATCCTTATAACTGTGCCCCACCTGAAATCCCCGTGGTGCATTCGCTGTGACCTGCATGTCCGCTGCCAGGAACAGCCCCAGCATGGTCACATACCCCACCATGGCCGTGCCGCGGGTCAGCGGCCCGTACTGGTACCTGGCAGGATGGGGCATGCACGGGGGAAAATGCTCAAAACAAGGACCAAACCCGGTCCCTGCATCGCCCATCACTGACATACCCCACCATGGCCGTGCTGCGGGTCAGTGGCCCGTACTGGTACCTGTGGGGCGAGGGGGAAATAAGGAAGGGCGGAATGGGAAGAGCAGAGGGCAGGATGGGGCATGCACTGGGGCTAATGCTTATGGAAGGGTAAACACCGGTTCCTCCCTGCATCCCCCACCCGTGCCATACCCCACCATGGCCGTGCTGCGGGTCAGTGATCCATACTGGTACCTGTGGGGGGCGGAGGGGGCAACCAGGAAGGGCGGAATGGAAAGAGAGGGGAGCAGGATGGGACAGGCGTAGGGGAATGCGCATGGGTTACGACTAGCTTCAGCCCCTCCATTGCTCTCCACCACTGCCAAACCATATTGCACTAGCTGTGCAACATGCTGTGCAACTCGCTTGCCCTCGCCGACCATCCCCCCCACCCCTCCCCTCCCCTCCCCTTCCCCCACACCCACGCCCCCTTTTCCTCTCCCTCTCTCCTCCTCCTCTCGCTTCCCCAGCGCGCACCAGTAGAAGGAGAGTGTGAGGATGGCGCGGTGAATACGGTAGCGATACTCCGTGATGTTGCTTTCCTTGAGCCCTGTGTGCAGGTACGCTGCACACAGCGCCTAGTGGTGGGGGGGAGGGGGGGGGGAGAGGGGGGAACGAGGAGGTAGTGGAATTTCCTTGAAAAGCGTAACGGCTTGGGGAGGAAGGAAAAGCGGGGAGGGTAATGTCCCCAGAGCGCGTCATGCGTCTCAGCACTCTGTTCAAGTCTGCACAGCCCCTTGGGGAAGGACGGGGCAGCGGGGAGGTGGGGCAAGAAATGTTGACGATACAGAAACAAATCAGAGAGGGGGGAGAGGGGAGGGCAGAGAGGGGGAGGGCAGAGAGGGGGAGGCACGGAGAAGGAAGCAGAAGGTGAAGGAAGGAGGGGAGGGTGATTGATTGAGAAGGGGATTGACTGAGAAACATTGCTAGTGAAGTGACCATTTGAGGCTGGGGCATGGGCTGCTAGAAAGCAGGGGCGAGGAGGAGCAGTGGTATGGGGGGAGAGAAAGCAGGGCAGTGCAACCCAGGTGTGGAAGGCAGATGCTATAGAGAAGGGGCAGCTCGGGAGGGAGAGGGAGGCAGTCAACACTCACCTTCCATGCGGCGTCCATCTCGTGGTTGTACTGCTGGTGCTGGTTGCGCTGCTGTGTGACAAACACGCTGAGGTGAGCTTTGAGGCGCCTCAACACTCACCTTCCATGCGGCGTCCATCTCGTGGTTGTACTGCTGGTGCTGGTTGCGCTGCTGTGTGACAAACACGCTGAGGTGAGCTTTGAGGCGCCTCAACACTCACCTTCCATGCGGCGTCCATCTCGTGGTTGTACTGCTGGTGCTGGTTGCGCTGCTGTGTGACAAACACGCTGAGGTGAGCCATGAGGCGCCTCAACACTCACCTTCCATGCGGCGTCCATCTCGTGGTTGTACTGCTGGTGCTGGTTGCGCTGCTGTGTGACAAACACGCTGAGGTGAGCTTTGAGGCGCCTCAACACTCACCTTCCATGCGGCGTCCATCTCGTGGTTGTACTGCTGGTGCTGGTTGCGCTGCTGTGTGACAAACACGCTGAGGTGAGCTTTGAGGCGCCTCAACACTCACCTTCCATGCGGCGTCCATCTCGTGGTTGTACTGCTGGTGCTGGTTGCGCTGCTGTGTGACAAACACGCTGAGGTGAGCTTTGAGGCGCCTCAACACTCACCTTCCATGCGGCGTCCATCTCGTGGTTGTACTGCTGGTGCTGGTTGCGCTGCTGTGTGACAAACACGCTGAGGTGAGCTTTGAGGCGCCTCAACACTCACCTTCCATGCGGCGTCCATCTCGTGGTTGTACTGCTGGTGCTGGTTGCGCTGCTGTGTGACAAACACGCTGAGGTGAGCCATGAGGCGCCTCAACACTCACCTTCCATGCGGCGTCCATCTCGTGGTTGTACTGCTGGTGCTGGTTGCGCTGCTGTGTGACAAACACGCTGAGGTGAGCTTTGAGGCGCCTCAACACTCACCTTCCATGCGGCGTCCATCTCGTGGTTGTACTGCTGGTGCTGGTTGCGCTGCTGTGTGACAAACACGCTGAGGTGAGCTTTGAGGCGCCTCAACACTCACCTTCCATGCGGCGTCCATCTCGTGGTTGTACTGCTGGTGCTGGTTGCGCTGCTGTGTGACAAACACGCTGAGGTGAGCTTTGAGGCGCCTCAACACTCACCTTCCATGCGGCGTCCATCTCGTGGTTGTACTGCTGGTGCTGGTTGCGCTGCTGTGTGACAAACACGCTGAGGTGAGCTTTGAGGCGCCTCAACACTCACCTTCCATGCGGCGTCCATCTCGTGGTTGTACTGCTGGTGCTGGTTGCGCTGCTGTGTGACAAACACGCTGAGGTGAGCTTTGAGGCGCCTCAACACTCACCTTCCATGCGGCGTCCATCTCTTGGTTGTACTGCTGGTGCTGGTTGCGCTGCTGTGTGACAAACACGCTGAGGTGAGCCATGAGGCGCCTCAACACTCACCTTCCATGCGGCGTCCATCTCGTGGTTGTACTGCTGGTGCTGGTTGCGCTGCTGTGTGACAAACACGCTGAGGTGAGCTTTGAGGCGCCTCAACACTCACCTTCCATGCGGCGTCCATCTCGTGGTTGTACTGCTGGTGCTGGTTGCGCTGCTGTGTGACAAACACGCTGAGGTGAGCCATGAGGCGCCTCAACACTCACCTTCCATGCGGCGTCCATCTCGTGGTTGTACTGCTGGTGCTGGTTGCGCTGCTGTGTGACAAACACGCTGAGGTGAGCTTTGAGGCGCCTCAACACTCACCTTCCATGCGGCGTCCATCTCGTGGTTGTACTGCTGGTGCTGGTTGCGCTGCTGTGTGACAAACACGCTGAGGTGAGCTTTGAGGCGCCTCAACACTCACCTTCCATGCGGCGTCCATCTCGTGGTTGTACTGCTGGTGCTGGTTGCGCTGCTGTGTGACAAACACGCTGAGGTGAGCTTTGAGGCGCCTCAACACTCACCTTCCATGCGGCGTCCATCTCGTGGTTGTACTGCTGGTGCTGGTTGCGCTGCTGTGTGACAAACACGCTGAGGTGAGCTTTGAGGCGCCTCAACACTCACCTTCCATGCGGCGTCCATCTCGTGGTTGTACTGCTGGTGCTGGTTGCGCTGCTGTGTGACAAACACGCTGAGGTGAGCTTTGAGGCGCCTCAACACTCACCTTCCATGCGGCGTCCATCTCTTGGTTGTACTGCTGGTGCTGGTTGCGCTGCTGTGTGACAAACACGCTGAGGTGAGCCATGAGGCGCCTCAACACTCACCTTCCATGCGGCGTCCATCTCGTGGTTGTACTGCTGGTGCTGGTTGCGCTGCTGTGTGACAAACACGCTGAGGTGAGCTTTGAGGCGCCTCAACACTCACCTTCCATGCGGCGTCCATCTCGTGGTTGTACTGCTGGTGCTGGTTGCGCTGCTGTGTGACAAACACGCTGAGGTGAGCCATGAGGCGCCTCAACACTCACCTTCCATGCGGCGTCCATCTCGTGGTTGTACTGCTGGTGCTGGTTGCGCTGCTGTGTGACAAACACGCTGAGGTGAGCTTTGAGGCGCCTCAACACTCACCTTCCATGCGGCGTCCATCTCGTGGTTGTACTGCTGGTGCTGGTTGCGCTGCTGTGTGACAAACACGCTGAGGTGAGCTTTGAGGCGCCTCAACACTCACCTTCCATGCGGCGTCCATCTCGTGGTTGTACTGCTGGTGCTGGTTGCGCTGCTGTGTGACAAACACGCTGAGGTGAGCTTTGAGGCGCCTCAACACTCACCTTCCATGCGGCGTCCATCTCGTGGTTGTACTGCTGGTGCTGGTTGCGCTGCTGTGTGACAAACACGCTGAGGTGAGCTTTGAGGCGCCTCAACACTCACCTTCCATGCGGCGTCCATCTCGTGGTTGTACTGCTGGTGCTGGTTGCGCTGCTGTGTGACAAACACGCTGAGGTGAGCTTTGAGGCGCCTCAACACTCACCTTCCATGCGGCGTCCATCTCGTGGTTGTACTGCTGGTGCTGGTTGCGCTGCTGTGTGACAAACACGCTGAGGTGAGCTTTGAGGCGCCTCAACACTCACCTTCCATGCGGCGTCCATCTCGTGGTTGTACTGCTGGTGCTGGTTGCGCTGCTGTGTGACAAACACGCTGAGGTGAGCTTTGAGGCGCCTCAACACTCACCTTCCATGCGGCGTCCATCTCGTGGTTGTACTGCTGGTGCTGGTTGCGCTGCTGTGTGACAAACACGCTGAGGTGAGCTTTGAGGCGCCTCAACACTCACCTTCCATGCGGCGTCCATCTCGTGGTTGTACTGCTGGTGCTGGTTGCGCTGCTGTGTGACAAACACGCTGAGGTGAGCTTTGAGGCGCCTCAACACTCACCTTCCATGCGGCGTCCATCTCGTGGTTGTACTGCTGGTGCTGGTTGCGCTGCTGTGTGACAAACACGCTGAGGTGAGCCATGAGGCGCCTCAACACTCACCTTCCATGCGGCGTCCATCTCGTGGTTGTACTGCTGGTGCTGGTTGCGCTGCTGTGTGACAAACACGCTGAGGTGAGCTTTGAGGCGCCTCAACACTCACCTTCCATGCGGCGTCCATCTCGTGGTTGTACTGCTGGTGCTGGTTGCGCTGCTGTGTGACAAACACGCTGAGGTGAGCTTTGAGGCGCCTCAACACTCACCTTCCATGCGGCGTCCATCTCGTGGTTGTACTGCTGGTGCTGGTTGCGCTGCTGTGTGACAAACACGCTGAGGTGAGCTTTGAGGCGCCTCAACACTCACCTTCCATGCGGCGTCCATCTCGTGGTTGTACTGCTGGTGCTGGTTGCGCTGCTGTGTGACAAACACGCTGAGGTGAGCTTTGAGGCGCCTCAACACTCACCTTCCATGCGGCGTCCATCTCGTGGTTGTACTGCTGGTGCTGGTTGCGCTGCTGTGTGACAAACACGCTGAGGTGAGCTTTGAGGCGCCTCAACACTCACCTTCCATGCGGCGTCCATCTCGTGGTTGTACTGCTGGTGCTGGTTGCGCTGCTGTGTGACAAACACGCTGAGGTGAGCTTTGAGGCGCCTCAACACTCACCTTCCATGCGGCGTCCATCTCGTGGTTGTACTGCTGGTGCTGGTTGCGCTGCTGTGTGACAAACACGCTGAGGTGAGCTTTGAGGCGCCTCAACACTCACCTTCCATGCGGCGTCCATCTCGTGGTTGTACTGCTGGTGCTGGTTGCGCTGCTGTGTGACAAACACGCTGAGGTGAGCTTTGAGGCGCCTCAACACTCACCTTCCATGCGGCGTCCATCTCGTGGTTGTACTGCTGGTGCTGGTTGCGCTGCTGTGTGACAAACACGCTGAGGTGAGCCATGAGGCGCCTCAACACTCACCTTCCATGCGGCGTCCATCTCGTGGTTGTACTGCTGGTGCTGGTTGCGCTGCTGTGTGACAAACACGCTGAGGTGAGCTTTGAGGCGCCTCAACACTCACCTTCCATGCGGCGTCCATCTCGTGGTTGTACTGCTGGTGCTGGTTGCGCTGCTGTGTGACAAACACGCTGAGGTGAGCTTTGAGGCGCCTCAACACTCACCTTCCATGCGGCGTCCATCTCGTGGTTGTACTGCTGGTGCTGGTTGCGCTGCTGTGTGACAAACACGCTGAGGTGAGCTTTGAGGCGCCTCAACACTCACCTTCCATGCGGCGTCCATCTCGTGGTTGTACTGCTGGTGCTGGTTGCGCTGCTGTGTGACAAACACGCTGAGGTGAGCTTCGAGGCGCCTCAACACTCACCTTCCATGCGGCATCCATCTCGTGGTTGTACTGCTGGTGCTGGTTGCGCTGCTGTGTGACAAACACGCTGAGGTGAGCTTCGAGGCGCCTCAACACTCACCTTCCATGCGGCATCCATCTCGTGGTTGTACTGCTGGTGCTGGTTGCGCTGCTGTGTGACAAACACGCTGAGGTGAGCCATGAGGCGCCTCAACACTCACCTTCCATGCGGCGTCCATCTCGTGGTTGTACTGCTGGTGCTGGTTGCGCTGCTGTGTGACAAACACGCTGAGGTGAGCTTTGAGGCGCCTCAACACTCACCTTCCATGCGGCGTCCATCTCGTGGTTGTACTGCTGGTGCTGGTTGCGCTGCTGTGTGACAAACACGCTGAGGTGAGCTTTGAGGCGCCTCAACACTCACCTTCCATGCGGCGTCCATCTCGTGGTTGTACTGCTGGTGCTGGTTGCGCTGCTGTGTGACAAACACGCTGAGGTGAGCTTCGAGGCGCCTCAACACTCACCTTCCATGCGGCGTCCATCTCGTGGTTGTACTGCTGGTGCTGGTTGCGCTGCTGTGTGACAAACACGCTGAGGTGAGCTTCGAGGCGCCTCAACACTCACCTTCCATGCGGCATCCATCTCGTGGTTGTACTGCTGGTGCTGGTTGCGCTGCTGTGTGACAAACACGCTGAGGTGAGCTTTGAGGCGCCTCAACACTCACCTTCCATGCGGCGTCCATCTCGTGGTTGTACTGCTGGTGCTGGTTGCGCTGCTGTGTGACAAACACGCTGAGGTGAGCCATGAGGCGCCTCAACACTCACCTTCCATGCGGCGTCCATCTCGTGGTTGTACTGCTGGTGCTGGTTGCGCTGCTGTGTGACAAACACGCTGAGGTGAGCCATGAGGCGCCTCAACACTCACCTTCCATGCGGCGTCCATCTCGTGGTTGTACTGCTGGTGCTGGTTGCGCTGCTGTGTGACAAACACGCTGAGGTGAGCCATGAGGCGCCTCAACACTCACCTTCCATGCGGCGTCCATCTCGTGGTTGTACTGCTGGTGCTGGTTGCGCTGCTGTGTGACAAACACGCTGAGGTGAGCCATGAGGCGCCTCAACACTCACCTTCCATGCGGCGTCCATCTCGTGGTTGTACTGCTGGTGCTGGTTGCGCTGCTGTGTGACAAACACGCTGAGGTGAGCTTTGAGGCGCCTCAACACTCACCTTCCATGCGGCGTCCATCTCGTGGTTGTACTGCTGGTGCTGGTTGCGCTGCTGTGTGACAAACACGCTGAGGTGAGCTTTGAGGCGCCTCAACACTCACCTTCCATGCGGCGTCCATCTCGTGGTTGTACTGCTGGTGCTGGTTGCGCTGCTGTGTGACAAACACGCTGAGGTGAGCCATGAGGCGCCTCAACACTCACCTTCCATGCGGCGTCCATCTCGTGGTTGTACTGCTGGTGCTGGTTGCGCTGCTGTGTGACAAACACGCTGAGGTGAGCCATGAGGCGCCTCAACACTCACCTTCCATGCGGCGTCCATCTCGTGGTTGTACTGCTGGTGCTGGTTGCGCTGCTGTGTGACAAACACGCTGAGGTGAGCTTTGAGGCGCCTCAACACTCACCTTCCATGCGGCGTCCATCTCGTGGTTGTACTGCTGGTGCTGGTTGCGCTGCTGTGTGACAAACACGCTGAGGTGAGCCATGAGGCGCCTCAACACTCACCTTCCATGCGGCGTCCATCTCGTGGTTGTACTGCTGGTGCTGGTTGCGCTGCTGTGTGACAAACACGCTGAGGTGAGCTTTGAGGCGCCTCAACACTCACCTTCCATGCGGCGTCCATCTCGTGGTTGTACTGCTGGTGCTGGTTGCGCTGCTGTGTGACAAACACGCTGAGGTGAGCTTTGAGGCGCCTCAACACTCACCTTCCATGCGGCGTCCATCTCGTGGTTGTACTGCTGGTGCTGGTTGCGCTGCTGTGTGACAAACACGCTGAGGTGAGCTTTGAGGCGCCTCAACACTCACCTTCCATGCGGCGTCCATCTCGTGGTTGTACTGCTGGTGCTGGTTGCGCTGCTGTGTGACAAACACGCTGAGGTGAGCCATGAGGCGCCTCAACACTCACCTTCCATGCGGCGTCCATCTCGTGGTTGTACTGCTGGTGCTGGTTGCGCTGCTGTGTGACAAACACGCTGAGGTGAGCTTTGAGGCGCCTCAACACTCACCTTCCATGCGGCGTCCATCTCGTGGTTGTACTGCTGGTGCTGGTTGCGCTGCTGTGTGACAAACACGCTGAGGTGAGCTTTGAGGCGCCTCAACACTCACCTTCCATGCGGCGTCCATCTCGTGGTTGTACTGCTGGTGCTGGTTGCGCTGCTGTGTGACAAACACGCTGAGGTGAGCTTTGAGGCGCCTCAACACTCACCTTCCATGCGGCGTCCATCTCGTGGTTGTACTGCTGGTGCTGGTTGCGCTGCTGTGTGACAAACACGCTGAGGTGAGCTTTGAGGCGCCTCAACACTCACCTTCCATGCGGCGTCCATCTCGTGGTTGTACTGCTGGTGCTGGTTGCGCTGCTGTGTGACAAACACGCTGAGGTGAGCCATGAGGCGCCTCAACACTCACCTTCCATGCGGCGTCCATCTCGTGGTTGTACTGCTGGTGCTGGTTGCGCTGCTGTGTGACAAACACGCTGAGGTGAGCTTTGAGGCGCCTCAACACTCACCTTCCATGCGGCGTCCATCTCGTGGTTGTACTGCTGGATGCGCTGCTGCGTAACAAACACGTTGATGGACAGCCGGTAGTACGTGGGCCTGGTGATGGCAGGGTAAAAGGATGGCATCAAGCAGGGTGGCAGAGGCAGCAGGGTAGAAAGGATAGCAGAAGGGTAGAAGGATGGCAGCAGGGTAGAAAGGATAGCAGAAGGGTAGAAGGATGGCAGCAGGGTAGAGAGGATAGCAGTAGGCAGGGTGGCAGAGGCAGGGGGACAGAACGGCAGGGCAGCAGGCCCACACGCACACAAGGGAGAGGAGCACGAGAGAAGCAGGGGCACAAGAGTGAGAATGCATGTGCGCACGGCCCATGGCCGTACATGAGCACAGATATGGAAGGGTAGGGTTAAAAGGAGGGACAGATGTACTGAAGTAGTACACAGGAATCATGGGACAGGAGTGGGCAGGAGTGGGTAAACACGAGTCCAGTGGAACATGCACTCGCTTTCACATGGCTGCGCAGTGCCCAAACACCCAATGAGCAGTCAAGAAGCACTAGAGTCGCGGCTACTCAAACTTTGGGCTTACATGGGATGGGGGGGAAGCAGAAGGGGGGTCGTAAGGTAGTGGGGTTGGTGGGGTTGTGGAAGCGGTCAAGCCAAGTAGATAAGGGATGGTGTGGTGAGGTGACTCACGTGCGGGAGAGGGTGATACGAGTGCCGTTAAGCAGTGTGCTGGTGGCAGGGGTGGGGGGAGAGGGGGCGGGGAGAAGGGGAGGGGAGGACCAAGGCAATGAGAGCACTGCGAGGTAATGGGGAGAGGGGCGATACAGCAAGGCAAGACGGCAAGCAGGCGAGCAGTTCATGGGGTACAAGGGGGAAGGAGGGGAAGTGTATCGTATCGCACGGGCCTCTCCTCTCCCTCCTGCCAGGCTGATTGATTCTCAGCCTTCACTCCCCAACACAGCTTCTCGACGCCATTCACATGCTCCATCCTGCATGTGATGAGTACTGCCTCTTCCCCCCCATTCACCAGTTCTGCCCTTTTCACCCAGGGGACGCTGTGCTGTGGCAGGAAATGGTGGCGCTTGAGACGACTTTAGAGGCGCCTCAAAAGCCCTCTCCCCCGCTCAAATCCTCTCCCGCACTCAAGCAGTACTGCCCACCCAGGGTATGTCGCAATCACTTTTGAGAATTCTCAAAAGTGATTTCGTCAAATCCTCTCCCCGCACTCGTGCAGTATTGACTCGCTCACCCAGGGGACGCTGTGCTGTGGCAGGGAATGGTGGCCCACGAGTCTCTACCCATTACTTCCCACACCTCCTCCACACTCCCTTCCACTGCCAGCTGTGCGCCATGTGCCATGCCATGCCATGCCATGCCATGCCATGCCATGCCATCCCATGCCATGCCATGGTGCAAGGCAGTGGGGGGTGAAAGCATATACTCCTGGGTGGTTTGAATGGCGACAACAACAGGAGAAAAAGCAGGACAGAGGGGGGGAGAAGCAAGGGGAGGAACGAGAGAGGAGCGAGCGGCGGAGGGGGCAGGATATTGCGGAGGAAGGCGAGCGGCTGAAGGGCAAGGAGGCTGGTGCTCCATCCTGCATGTGACTTTTGAATTGACTCAAAAGGCAGCTGAAGGGTACGGAGGTCGTTTTTACCACAGCTCACCTGCTTCGTCCTGCATGCATGTGATGAGGCGATTTTTGCGTCGACAAAAAGAAACGCGAGATAGAGTGGAGGAAGGGGCAGGGCAGCTGAAAGGCAAGGGGGTTGGGTGTTGAGCGATCATGCTGGCAGCACTGCTCGCTTGCTGAGTCGACTCAACACACGATTCACCTGCTCCATCCTGTCTGTGGCTGATGGTGCCCCCCTCAGCAAGAGCGCGTGCAGTAGATGAAGCGTGCTGGTGGTGGGGGGCGGGGGAGGGAAACAGGGAAGGGGAAGGGCAAAATTTTGAGGTGCATTTTGAGGCGCCTCAAAATGCACCAAAAAGCGTGCTGGTGGTGAGGGGCGGGGGAGGGAAACAGGGAAGGGGAAGGGCAAAAAGGGATGGAAAGGGGAGGGGAGCGGAGAGGGGAACGGAGAGAGGAAAGGAGGGGGGAAACGGGGAAGGATTGCAAATCGTCAGGGAAAGAGTGCCACGAGTGCCACGAGTGTGTGCAGTGCAAGGCTCGTGCATGCTCTGCACTGCTCTGTACTCAACTAGGACGCTTCACTAGGAAGAAAGGAGCGAATTGAGTGAGCGAGCGAGCGAGTGAATGAACGAGTTAGTAAGTGAGCGAGTGAGTGAGTGAACGAGTGAGGGAGTGGATACCCACCGGTTGTAGTAGGGTGAGTAGCGGGCATTGATGGACTGCCCATTCATGAGTGGCGTGTCCAGCGTCGCGTGTTGCTCGCTCTCACTGCTCCTACCCCACACACAGGGCGCATGCGGGGCGGGGTAAGAGGGGGAAGGGGACGTGCGGGGTACGAGGGGGGGGCACGTCAGGTGCGAAGGGGGAAACGGGTTCACAGGGTGAGAGGGCGAAGGGGACATGCGGGATTAGGAAAAAGGGCATGTCATGCCACAGGGTGACGGCAGCACAATGCTTCTATCTGCATTGCATGCAATGCCATGCAAAGCCGTGCCAGGCCAAAGGGTTAGAAGTAACAACGACGGACGCATACGCCATGACCAGGTCACTCTACATGAGGCAACTCAAGAACACATGAGAACCATGCAACATTCCCCACCCTCCCTGCCCTCCCTGCCCTCCCTGCCCTCCCTGCCCTCCCTGCCCTCCCTGCTCTCCTGCCCTCCCCCCCCTACCAACCTTCCCTGCCCTCCTTTCCTCCCTGTCCTACCTTCCCTCCCTGCCCTCCGTTCCCTCCCTGCCCTCCCTTCCCTCCTTGTCCTCCCTCCCAATCCACACACACCCCTCCCCACCTGAGTCGATCCATCCACACCACAGGCGTGCTTGGATCCGCCAGCTGTCGCCACCGCACCACACGGTCATACACGTCCCGCCACCCCGCCACCATCTCTCCCCGCCTCCTCCGCCCTCTCTGCCCCCTCGTCCCCTCGCCCCTCCCCTCCCCTCCCTTCCTCTCCTCCCCTCCTCCTCCCCCCCCCTCCTCTTGCTGCTCGCGCTGCTGTCGCCGCTGCCCTCTTTTCCCTCCCGAACCCCGCTTGCCCTCTGCTGACTGCCCGCTCGCACCGCTCTCCACCGCGCTGGCTCTCTCCTCTGCCATGGCTTCCCATGTGCGGCGTACGAGGTCCCGAAGGTCCATCATTGCCAGCCCTGCCATGCGGAACTGGTGGTGGTGAGAGGGGGAAGGGGAGGGAGTGGGAAGGAGGGGAGAGGGGGGAGGGGGAGGGGTAAACTTGTTAACACGCCTGAAAGAATGTTCATCATTGCCAGCCCTGCCATGCGGTACTGGTGGTGGTGGGAGGGGGGGGGGAGGGAGTTGGAGGAGGGGAGAGGGGGAAGGGGAGGGGATAGACTTGTCAAGCCCCCTAAAAGAATGTCTATCATTGCCAGCCCTGCCATGCGGAACTGGTGGTGGTGGGAGGGGGGGGGGAGGGAGTTGGAGGAGGGGAGGGGAGGGGGAAGGGGAGGGGATAGACTTGTCAAGCCCCCTAAAAGAATGTCCATCATTGCCAGCCCTGCCATGCGGAACTGGTGGTGGTGGGAGGGGGGCGGGGAGGGAGTTGGAGGAGGGGAGAGGGGGAAGGGGAGGGGATAGACTTGTCAAGCCCCCTAAAAGAATGTCCATCATTGCCAGCCCTGCCATGCGGTACTGGTGGGGGTGACGGAGGGGGAAGGGGAGGGAGTGGGAAGGAGGGGAGAGGGAAGAGGGGGAGCGGATAGACTTGTTAACACGCCTGAAAGAATGTCCATCATTGCCAGCCCTGCCGTGTGAGCCCCGCTTGCCCTCTGCCAGCTGTCCATTCGCACCGCTCTCCACCGCTCAAATCCATCCATACAGACAGCATAACCACATCCATTCGAATTTCTTACCTGCCTACCCATATCTCCACCTCCCATTCCATCCTCACCCACCTTGCCTGTGTTGGGCAGGAGCCATGCCTGTTGCACGCACGTATGTAAGTGTGGCACTATTCAGTCAACTCAATCTGGATTTATTTAGACGAATCAGAAGACGAGATGAAATTTTGAGTTTTACTCCCTACATCACATCTCCCTCTCCCTTTTCTTCCCCCAGCAGCACCCACCCACCCGGCGTGTGTTAGGCAGGAACCCATGCCAGTCATACGCTGTGAGCGCGGTGACATTCCAGCCAGCTCATAAAACCCCCATACATCAACCTCCCCCTCTCCCACTCTCCCACCACCAGCACCCACCCACCTGACGCAAGTTAGGCAGGAACCCATGCCAGTCATATGCTGCAAGCGCGCCCAGCCTCTCAGCCGCCCCCACCAGCTGCAGCACAGCGGGCGACAGCACCGCATCGCCCTCCCCTGCTGCGCCTGCTCTTTTCAAAAAGCCCCCATCATCAGCCCCTCGCCTCCAGCACCCACCTGGCGCGTGTTGGGCAGGAACCCATGCCAGTCATACGCTGCGAGCGAACCCAGCCGTTCAGCCGCCCCCACCAGCTGCAGCACAGCGGGCGACAGCACTGCACCATCCTCCCCTGCTGCGCCTGCCCTTTTCGTGCCACCATGCGCACGCCCTTCCTTCTGGAGCTCGTAGCCGGGTAAGAGCACGGAGGGCGGTAGGCGCTTGCTCCATGCTTCCTGCACCGTCAGCGGTGGTAGTGGTGGTGGTGGTGGTGGTGGTGTGTGTGTGTGTGTGTGTGTGTGTGTGTGTGTGTGTGTGTGTGTGTGTGTGTGTGTGGAGAAGGGATGGAAAGAAGTCATGAGAAGTCTCGAAACCCCTTGCCACCATGTGCGCGCCCTTCCTTCTGGAGCTCGTAGCCGGGGACGAGCACAGAGGGCGGTAGGCGCTTGCTCCATGCTTCCTGCACCGGCGGTGGTGGTGGTGGTGGTGGTGGTGGTGGTGGTGGTGGTGGTGGTGGGGGGGGGGGGGGGGGAAGGGATGGGAAGAACAAGTGAGGGGTGAAGGGGAGAGGGGGCGGGGTGTGGGGGAAGAGGGGAAGAGGGGAGGGGGAAATGAGGGGATGAGGGAAATGGGGGGAGTAACAAACAGCAAGTGTAATGTTGCAAACAGCAGTGGGTATGACTAGCGGGCTTACGTTGAAGAGAGGTCCAAGGTGGTCCAGTGGCCGGAAGAGAGTTAAAGGCTTGCTCTGCCGTGCTGCCATGTACAGTGCTACCTCCCTCTGTGTGCCATGCCATGTGTAGTGCATTCGCACTCCCATTCAATGGTCTCACGTTGAAGAGAGGTCCAAGGTGATCCAACGGTCGGAAGAGAGTGAGGGGCTTGCTCTGCCGTGCTGCCATGTAGAGCGCCACCTCCCTCTGTGTGCCATGCCATGTGTAGTGCACTCGCATTCCATGCACATGTGTGCACGCGCATGCGGAAAAGGACGCATATGTACGCATGCATGCACACGCACGAACGCACGCTCACACATGCACGCATACACACATGCATGCATGCACACGCAAACACATACATGCACACACGCACATACATGAGGGGAATGCGGGCAGACAAGTGGAGGGCAGGGGGGTTGAGTGAAGTAGCAGCACTGGTTGTGCTCACAGAAGGTAAATTGTGGTATCGTGTTGCATGATACGAGCACACTGGTCAGGCACTACTGCAGCAGCAGCAACCGAAGGCACAGGCGCAGCAGCAGCAGCAGCAGCAGCTGCCTTGGTAGTAATGACCTGGTAGAAGGCCTGGTAAAGCCTGCCGGGGTCGGTGCCGGGTGGTGGGGCGAGGCTCATGAGGTCATTGTACTTGCGGACCTGCCATGCCATGCCATGCCATGCCATGCCATGCCATGCCATGCCATGCCATGCCATGCCATGCCATGCCATGCCATGCCGTGCCATGCCATGCCATGCGTGTGGGGAGAGGGAAATGCGAGGGGAGTGCGGTGGGCGAGGGCCACAGGATGGGATGGCAAATCCAGGAGTGCACGAACGGCGGCAGGGAGCAGCAAGGTGCGGACTGGTAGGGAGGGATTCCACAAGGTGGGGAGGTGTGAGAGGTGTGAGAGTGAGGGGGGGCACTCACTGCTTCAGCCCATCGGCCCATGGCGTGCAGGCAAGAAGCTTCCAGGAAGCGCATTTCGATGTCTGACGGTGTGATGCTGAGGACGTGCCGTGCTGTGGATAGGACGGTGCTGTGGGGTAAGCATAGTGGGGATGGCAATGTGGTATAGTACAGTGGGATGGCACAGTGGGATGGTACAGTGGGATGGTACAGTGGGAGTCATGCATGCGATGGGCGCATAGGGACAGGGGAACATGAGATGGGCGGGTGCAGTGCTGTGCAGGCACTGATACTGTGCATGCATGAAGGCATAGGCATGTGAAGTATATCACAGAGAAGAGTGGTCTGATACCATAGGAGGGACGGGGTGTGGGGGGTTGAGAGGGGAGGGTTGTGACGAGTTGTTGCTGTTTTGGGTTGGAGGGGTGAGTTGAGTGAGTGGGGGGAGTGAACTGAGGGGGGTTCGTGAGAGAGGGTTTGAATGGAGAGAGGGGCTAAGTGGACCGAGGATTTTTGAGAATTCTCGAAAATCACTCCCGAGGAACGTACTGGTGGTGGCCCATGGAGAAGTGGAAGTTGGCGTATATGCGCTGCACCTCCACATTGCTGGGGGATAGGGGCGGAGGGGGAGAGACATGTCAAAGAGGACGGAGCAGAGCACAGCAGAGCAGGGACAGGGTCAGGCGAGCACAGAAGTGCGTGGCAGCTCGAGTTGAAGCAAGGACGCATGAGATTGTTTTCTTGTGGACACGAGGGGACTTGATGGGAGGCTCACATAGCACGACGGCACTCTATAGTTCGTTCAAAGCATCTGGACGTCCCTTCTCCCTCCCACACAACCCCGGCCCGGGCCCCCCACCCTCTTCCACCTCGAATGCCATCCTCCCCCTCTCCTCTCTCCCCACTGCTCTCCTGCCCCCAAAAATTCACCCAACCCCCCCTTCCCCTCGCCTTCCCTCAGGTCCCATCGCCTCCCCTCCCATCCTCACCCTTTCCCCCCTTACCACTCCCTCTCTCCCCACCCACCACACCCTATCTCCCCCCTGCCCTCCTCCTCACCGTGCATCCAAGGCGAGGACAGCCTGCAGAGCAGCATCGACCTCCTACGCGTGCCCCGCCACCAAGCGCACCTGCAAGCAAGTACCACCCCACCAAGCATTGCATCCCTCACCCCCCTCCTTTGCTCACCGTGCGTCCATGGCCAACACAGCCTGCAGAGCGGAGTCCGCCTCCTGCGCGTGCCCCGCCACCATGAGCGCCTGTCCCAGCACCACGCGCACCTGCCAGTACTTCCCCTGTACCGCCACCACCGCCTGTAGCTCCCCCACCGCCTCCCCACACCGCCCCGCCTCCAGTAGCGCCTGCGCCTGGGGGTTGGGGGGGAGGGGGGGGGGGAAGAGGGAGGGGGGAGTGGTGGAGGAAGGGGGGAGAAGGGGAGAGAGGAGGGGGAGGGGAGGGGGGTTGGAGGGAGGGGGATGGGAAGGAAAAAGGGAGGAATTGAGTCTGAGTGAAATGGGGAGTTGGGGTGTGTTGGGTGGGGTGTGTTGGGTGGGGTGTGTTGGGTGGGGTGTGGTTGTGGTGGGGTGTGTTGGGTGGGGTGTGGTTGTGGTGGGGTGTGTTGGGTGGGGTGTGGTTGTGGTGGGATTGTAGTGCTGGCACTGACATAGAGAAGCACAGGCAGGGGGCGGGCAGGGAAGGGAGACGGGGGGAAGAGCTATGAATCTGGGTAGAGGGTTCGTGTTGGGGTTGACTGCATGCAAATGTAACGAGCGAGGGTTTGCGTTGGGGTTGACTGCATGCAAATGTAACGAGCGAGGGTTTGTGTTGGGGTTGACTGCATGCAATGCAAATGTGTGCGCTGTTCGAGTTGGGAGAAAGGAGGGTGAGGAGGGGGGGGAAGGAGGGGAAGGGGGGAATGGGAGGGAAGTGGGTGGAGGGTAGAGCACAGTGGAACGAACCAGGTGTGCGCGTGCATTGTGGTGGTGTGGTGAGAGCAGCAGCACGGCCCTAAAGTCATCAATGGCCTCCCAGTTGCGAATCGCACCCAACAGAGCCACGCCTGGCAGGGCGTGCAAGGGAATACACGACAAAGAAAAGGGGTGGGACTGAGGTGCAGGGTGGGTGCGCGATGGAGACAAGGCTGGATGGAGGTGCAGAGAGGGAATTCGGGGAGGGGGGAGGAAGTGGGGGGAGGGGAGAGGATGGTGTATTGTGAAGGGAGCTTCAGCTGACCGCTGTGATACGCGTGGCTGTTTCCGAAAGAGCGATTGTTGCTCCGAAAGGAGTAAGTGCTTATCGCATTTTGCTCTATCAATCCTTCCTCCCTCCACCTCCCTCCCCTTTGCAATCCCTGCTGCCCCCTCACAACATTGCCCTCTCACTACTTCCTCCTTGCCCTCTCCCACTCCTTCCACACACTTGTTCCTCCTTCCCGTTTCACCTATCTTCCTCCCAGTTCCCTCCTTTTCCCCATCCCATCAATCATTCCCAACCCCCGCCTCCAATCCCCCCCAAATCCCTCCCCACACCTCGTTGGAACAGCAGAGAAATATCCCCAGGTGACTTCTGCACTGCTCGCCGCAGCTGTGCTATCTCCTGGCAGAGGGATGGGGGGAGCACACACGCAGGAGAGGGTGCGGGTGAAGGGCTGCAATGGAACACACAGGGTCCCATGTGTGTGTGGTGCTATGATGGATTATACGCGTTTAGCGTATATATGCGTATCGTATATACGCTGGCGTGTATACGCAATACGCTTGAGGGTCGGATCAGGCATACGCTTTTTCGGGCAGGGAAAAAAAATTCGGGCAGGGTGGAAAAAAAATACCCCCTATCTCATCTCACTAGGACGTGCCGTAGCATTTTCCTGAGTCCGATCGGCGAGTGGGGTGGGGCGGGGAGTAGTCATCATAGCTAGAGAAAGTAGTGTTGGAGAGGCTTTTCAAGTTGGAGTGCGCGGTGACACTGCTGGAAGCGGGAATGCAAGGTAGGAAATGACGGGTTAGGAGTTGGGTTGGCTGGTTAGTAGCGTGAGATTTGTTGGGGGTTCGATTTTGATAGGTTGGATTTCGTAGATAAGATGGTTTTCAATGCGGTAGAGGGGATGGGTTCAAATGCCTAGATGGGATCTGAAATTCGACATTTGAATAGCTAGATGTGCCTGAAAACTTCTAAGTCAGATCCCAGCTTGCCTAGACCGCGGATTTGCATTTCGACTTCGGCGAAATGCTCACCAAGAAAATCCGCATCTTTTCTGCGATTTTATTTTTCCGGGCTGCCCGGAAAATTTTATGGCAGCGTATTGCGTATTCGCTAGCGTTTAGCGTATTGCGTGTATACGCTAGCGTATATACGCTAAACGTGAAGGGCCTCGAGCGTATAATCCAACATAGGTGTGGTGGTTTGGTGTGGTGTGGTGTGGTGTGGTGTGGTGTGGTGTGGTGTGTTGTGGTGTGGTGTGAGACATGAGGGCGCATGGCAGAGGGGGGCAGAGGCAGAGACGTGTGGTAGGGGCAAAGGCAGGCTGGGGGGTGGGTTGCATGATGGCATGATTGCGGGGGATGGGTGGAGTGGCACGAGACACAGGAGGCAGTGGCACGAGACACAGGAGGCAGTGGCACGAGACACAGGAGGCCACTGTGCGGATCGGGATCAGGGACGAGGCGGGGAGGACGGGACGAAGTGGGGGCATGGGATGGGATGGGATGGGATGGGATGGGATGAGATGGGATGGGATGGGATGGGACACAGGCAGGCATGGGGGCCAGGCATGAACAGTGGCACTCCCTTGTGGTCAGAGGCACGGGGTGAGGCAGGGACGGCAATGTCATGGGAAAGAAAGGCGACACAGGAGGCAGGGAGGCAGGGAGGCAGGGAGGCAGGGAGGCAGGGAGGCATGGGGAGCCCACCTGGGTGTCAGCAACGTGTGGGGGGGCAGTGAAAGGCGTTGGGGGGAATGAGTGTGGCTGCAGCTGAGATGGCGAGCGGTGGGGAGAGGCTGGAGGGGCTGATGATGGGTTGGAGTGTGGACTGCGGGAGGAGGGAGAAGAGGAGGAGGAGGGAGGGGGAGAGGAGGGGGAGTAGGAGGAGGAGGAGGAGGAGGAGGAGGAGGAGGAGGAGGAGGAGGAGGAGGAGGAGGAGGAGGAGGAGGAGGAGGAGGAATAGGAGTTGGTGGAGGAGGAAGAGGAGGTGGGTGGGGGAGAGGAAGGCTGGTGTGCATTGAGCGGCACACACAGCGCGGAGAGGGGCGAAGGCCAATGCGGCACGGGGGTGGTAGGAGTGCTGTCAACAACTGGAGGCATTGTGTGCTGCTGGTGCGCTAGCGAGAGGGCATGGAGGCAAGCACCTGTGGCAGGGACCGACAGGGGAAGACAAGGCAGCAAGGAAAAGGAGAGGGGGGGGGGGGCGGTATGAGAGCTGGGGGCATGAATGAATGCGTGTATGAATGGTGCATTTGAGTTGAGTTAAAGATCAGGAGACAAGAGATGGAATGGGAGAGAGGAGAAGGGAAGAGGTGAGAGGGGGGAGGCTGAGGAGCTGTGTCTGACGCCACAAACAAACACCACACCACACCGCAGTGCACCGCACCGCACCACACTGTACCACACCACCACGCGGGGCGGGGAGGGCGCGGGTGGTCTCACGGTACGGTCTCTCACCACACCACACCTTCCAGGAGGAACAGCTGGGCGCACGTCCCCTCCGCCCACACCACCCCACCACCCGCCTCGCTCCCGTCCTCGCGCCCGCCTTGCTCCTCCTGCGCTCTGCTCCCCCTGCCTCCTTGCTCCCCGCCAACCCTCTGCTGCTGCTTCCCCGCCCGCCCCCGTCTCCCTCTCCGCCCCCTCCCTTCCGCTGCCCCCCAGCTTGCCCCCAGCGCCACCAGCTCCCCTTGTAGCCTGCTGCTGGGGGGCGGAGGGGCAGGGGGGGGGGGGGGGGGGGGGGCGAAGAGTTGGGGAAAGATGAGGGAAGGAAGGCGGAAAGGGTGGTGAAGTGACTGTGAGGGGTGGGCGCGAGTTGGGACACGTGGTGGGCTTGGGCAAAGGGGCACGGAATGGTGGGGAAGGGGACTTCGAGGAGAGGCAGCGATGCAGAGAGGCAGAGAGGCAGAGAGGCGGAATGGCGGAATGGCGGAGAGGTTGAGAGGCGATGCGCAGGGATGGAGAGGGCGAGAGGGCGCGAGGGCGCGTGCGACTGGGAGAGGATGGCGACGGAGGGATGGAGGGAGGAGGAACGAACTACAGAAGGTTATTGGGTGGGGAAGGTGGGGTGGCGGGAGGACGGTACTCCGAAGACCTATGAGTCGACTAAAAAATCCTCCGAGGACCTATGGGAACAGTGGCGCGGAATAGGGGGGCGGGCCGCGCGGGGATGCAGGCGCGCGGGGGCAGGGGGGAGCGGCGAGGGCGCAGCGGTTCTTACCACGGCCGTGGGTCAGCACCGCCGCCACCATCCATCGCGCCGCCGCAATGCTCCGCCATTCCGCCTGCGCTCGCCTGCACGGCGCCCGTCGCACGGCGACGATGCTGCGACGAGCACGGCCATCGCACAGCGTCTGCGACGCTCAGACCCGCGGCGCAAAACCCGCCTCTCAAGTCAACCCGCGGGTCACCTTCAAAGCCCGCGTTTGATTGGCCGGTGTCCGACGCGCGGGAATGCGCGGCGGGGGGAAGGGAGCCGCGCGGGGGAAGCAGCAGGTGGCAAGCGGCGGTGACGTTGAGCGCGAGGCACACCCAGGCGGAGAGGGCGGCGGGCATGTCGATGCGGCGAGCGGACGGCGGTATCGAGGGGTGTGGCGTGAGCGAGGAGATGGGGCGGGCCGAGCATGGGTGAATGAAGGGCGATGGTGATGGCAGCCGCGAGCACCAATGCTTGCCATGCGATTGCCCCAACACGCGGGACGGGCTGGTGTTGCGCAGTTCCAGGCCCAAGCGGCCCTGAAGGGGCATTTCGGGTCAGGTCGTGACGGGGTGTGCTCGTGCGGTGGAGGGTGGCACCGAGCGGTTCTGGTTTGAGCCAAGCTGACTGTAAACAGATCTCACCTCAATATAAGCAAGATTGTAGGGAATCTAGTTGGTTGGTGTACCTTAGCATTTCCTTACTTAAAGCCGGCAGCCCAAATTGCATATGTTAAAAAAAGTTGACGGCAGGGGAGTTTTACTGGGTTGGGTTTTGGCGAGCGTTACGGATTTCGTTGAAAGCTCAAGGCCCAAATTGTTCAACCTTACTAAGGTTGACCGTTGGGCTGTGGGGGAGGCACTCACAAAAGTGGGCGGGGGACCGGGGGTGTTGAGAGAAGGGTGTTACACATTCGCCCAACCCTTCGCTACACTTTCAAGAGGTGGGGGCTTCGTGTTTGGTTTTCGAAGTCCCAAGTTGCAACGTGCTCGTTCACAAGTTTCCTATCAGCACACCATCAAGACAGGGCTCTCGTTATCACACCAAATTGGTCTGATTTTCTGATTTTCAGACCTCGATTTTTGTTTTCATCTGATTTTCAAGACGAATATTTTTACTTCGTCTGATCTGTAAGATTACGAATTTCACTTCATCTGATTTTCCAGAGGAAGCCTTATACTTCGTCTGAAATTTCAGATAGGGGGTTGCAATTTGTCTGATATCGACCCCAATCCTCTCTCCCCCCACCCCCTTCTTCCCCCCCGATCCCTTGCTTCTCTAACACCGCAGCCCCCCATTTGATGCCCTCGCTCCTCGTCCTTATATTACTGGCCTAGTCCAGCCCTTCTCCCCCTTTCCCCCAGCCTTAGGTTCCCTCCCCAGGTCCCCCCGCTCCTAGCCTAGCCCGCTTTCCCATGCCTCTTGAAAAGTTTCGCAACAGCCCAATGTCAGAATGTTGTATTTGTCTAGCCTGCAGTGGGGTACTCTATAGCGAGTACAGCCCAATCTAGGGTTCCTATATGTACTCAACTGCTTGCTAGTGCAACTCCTCTTTCTGCCTCTAAACTTTCTACTACCTATCTTGACATGCTATCAGAGCAGGTCGACCCTCCTGGGTCGATCCTGTGGGTGGGCCCACCACCTAAGCCTTCCGCTGCTACTGCTACTGCTACTGCTACTCCCTGTCCGCCGCGCGCCCCGTGGCGCGCGGCGTCGAAACTAGGGTTTTCAGCCCGCCGTGCGCCCCGAGGCACGCGGCGGTTTTCTGCCCGCCGTGCGCCCCGAGGCGCGCGGCGGTTCTCTGCCCGCCGTGTGCCCCGAGGCGCGCGGCGGGTTCCTGCCCCGTCACTCGGCACGTCGCCCCCGGGAGGCGCTGCGACGGGCGACGGGGACCCGCGCGTCGCCCCCCGTCGCCCGTCGTGGCCTGCGCGCGGCCCGTACACCCGGCACGCGGCCCGTACGGGCTGCGCCAGGCCCGCGCGCGGCCCGTACGGGCTGCGCCAGTCCCGCGCGCGGCCCGTACGGGAAGCGCCAGGCCCGCGCGCGGCTCGGACCGCCTGCGCGCGGTTCGGGCGGCTCTACCAGGCCCGTGGGCGGCCCGTTCCTCGCTGCTCCTGCCCTCTCCACTGTCCCCCGTGCTTCTACCGGCGCCTCACCCCTCCTACAGCCCGTTCTCCTAAATTAGGGTTTGGGGGTGAAGAGTGTGGGGGTGGCGGCTATGGGGGTGTCGGTTGTGAGTTCCTCCCCCTGCTCCTCCTCCTCCCTCGTCTCCCTCTGCTACAGCTGCCGCTGAGGGGGGTGGTGTGTGGGAGCCTAGGGTTTGGGGTTTAAGGGGGGTACCGTCGGAGTGGAGCTAGGGTGTCAGCAGGGGGTGTGTGAGAGGGGCGTGGGACGGTCGGGGGAGGTTGAGCGGAGGCTGCCGTCTTGTCGTCAGCAGCACCTGTAGTCCGGGGCGCTTGTTCCGGTAGCCCAGTCGTAGCCAGCTGCGCCAGTCGCCCGTGGGTCCGTTGCTCGTCTGCCGCTCTTCTTAGCCGCGGAGCCAGTTACTCCTGTAGTCCGGGGCGCTTGTTCCGGTAGCCACTGAGCCAGTTTGACTCCTGTTGCCCGTGTGTCTGCAGCTTCAGCCGACGCCTCTTATCTCCTCTCCACCTACAGTCTCGCCTCCTCCTCCTCACTTGCCCTTTGTGAATGCCTCTAGCTTTGCATGCACTTGTGAATCTGCTCTATGACTGCTTGCTCTGCTGATTATACCCCACTTTGACTATGGGGGTGTGTCAGAATGTTGTATTTGTCTAGCCTGCAGTGGGGTACTCTATAGCGAGTACAGCCCAATCTAGGGTTCCTATATGTACTCAACTGCTTGCTAGTGCAACTCCTCTTTCTGCCTCTAAACTTTCTACTACCTATCTTGACACCCAACACCCCCAGCCGAATTCCCCGAAGTCCTTGTCTATTTCAGCTGAAAAATCAGGCGTGGCGTTTGCACTCGTCTGAAAGTTCAGACCAGCTTTTTTTCCTCGTCAAAACGTCAGACGAAACGAAAAATTTTATGCATGTCTTCAGACGGGCTTGAATCCTAGCAAGAGCCCTGCATCAAGATTACTAACCATGCCCCGAGCGATCCGCAATTTGGGCCTTGAGCTTTGAAGTCGTTTGTTTCGCCAAACCTAGCCAGCCGCCCGTTTTTACCCTGGTGTGAGTTGCAGAGCCAACATCGTCAAGTTTTAAAAACTTGACCCGCGCGGTCCGCAATTTGGGCCGCGGGCTTTAAACTCCCTCCTGCGTACAGCATTGTTCGTGCCATTCATCCAAACCATGTGTCGTTACCACATCGCGTTCCTCGCTTATGGACCTTCCCCAATAATAAACGGCTAGAAATGTCCATATGCTAACCCCGGCGCTTATACAAAATTATTACCAATAATCAACGTTAAAAAAAAACCCGTTTTATTACCGTCATACCCCGGATATAAGCGCCACCCGCGGATAAGCGCCTGGCGCTTTTAATCGGCGCCCGGCGCTTATATCCGGTGCTCGATTATAAGCGCATACCTAAAAGGCTTACAGATTATAACCGCATACCTGTGCTGTACACATTATAACCGCCCCCCTTGTTTGTAGTGTTTTTATATTTTGAAGACAATTAACAATATTAAATCTACATCTAAACATCTTCTTGACACTATTATGTTAACATCATCTACTAGTCAATCTACATTTAAACTACTTCTACCTACAAGCCTCACACAGGCTTGACCATTTTCTATCTACCCTCGCAGATCATCTGCCGTAGTGGGGTCATCTGGGTCGGCGTCAGAGTCCGACTCAGGCTCTTCTACGTTATTGCAGAAGAAGCCGTCTGCTCCAATTTCATCATCCACGTCGACCTCCTCGCCCTCGAGCTCATCTCGCCTGTGTTGCAGGCAGAGCTTGTCCTGGGACCCATCCAGGGCGTTGCTGATGCCGCAGGTGAGGAACGCCCGTTGGATGAGCTCCTTGGGCACGGACTTCCAGGCCGCCGAGATCCACTTGAGCGTCAGCTCGACAGGAGGCTTCTTGATGTTGCCTGCCACGCAAATCCAGAAACAAAGTCAGGAGTTAAATAAGAAAAAAAACACAAACAAACAGGCTGCACATCGCACCTTTCTTCGTCAGGCTGTCGACCCCCTCACGCTCAAACCACTCCTGGTAGAGCTGGCGAACGGCGGCCTTGAAGGAGCGGTTAACCGCGACGTCGAGGGGTTGAACCTCCGAGGTGCAGCCAGCAGGGATGACCGCAGGGACCACGTTGAGCTCGCCAAACTTTTTCTTCACCTCCGGGGTTAGGTGCCCGCGGTACGAATCGAGGACGAGCAGAACCTTCTTCGGGCGGACCCCGAACTTGGGGTTGATGTACGGCTTCACCGCCCCGTCCATCCACTCGATGACCCCGTCCGCGTCCATCCAACCGTTTGGATGGACCCCCACGTGGATATCTGCACACCAAAACCACAACGGTTAGAACAATTTTAAACAGACACACGGCTCCAATTCTCGGGACGGTGCATACCTGAAGGGAAGTCTCCTTTCGGGACGGTCTTCCTTTTGAAGAAGACCCACGGCTTCAGTTTTTCCCCGCTGGCGGTGCAGGCGAGCATGACTGTGACCCGCTCCTTCTGGTAGCCGCCGCTGCGGACGGGGATGGAGCGCGCGCCAACCTCTTCAACGGTGCGTTCGGATGGCATCTCGAGCCAGAGGGGCGTCTGGTCCGCGTTTAGAATCCACGGCAGCTCGATTCGGTACTGGCGGCGGGAGTGACGCACGGACGTCAAGAAAATTTTCACTTCCTCCTCGCAGTCTGGGACACGGGATGGGAGGAACAGAAAGCACAAACACAGAGTAAGAATAGTGAATCGAGAGCACATTGACACATGAACACCACCATAAAACTCACTTGCCGAGAGCTTCTGGCCGACCCGGGTCTTCGCTCTGGTCGTCAGGTTCCAGCGGCGGCGAAATCGCTGAGTCCACCGCTGAGAGCCGGCCCACTTTTCACCTGGGTGTAGCTCCTTCATCACCTCGTGCGACCACTTTTGAAGTCGTGCGATGGAGACGGCGAGGCACTTCTTGCGGTGGGCGAGAAACCGACGGTACACCTCCGCTTCCATGTCGCGATACCACGAGCTCCTTCCGCGGCCGTGCAGGCGACATCGTGCACCGTGCGCGCCCTCAAGCTCAGCCTTGCGGTTCTTCCACTCCGTGAGGCACCTTCGGGAGATGCCGGATTCGCGAGACATGCGCCGCACACTCATCTCGCCGGCTTCGAGCTTCAGAATCCATTGCAGCTTCTCCTGCGAGGTGTATTTGTTGCGCTTGTGAGTTGACGGCTTGTGCCTGGGGGAGGGAGGACGGGCATCACGATTATCGCGAGATGGATGGGGCCTTTTCTTATTCGGAGGAGGAAAAGAGGGGGGCCTTTTCTTATTCGGAGGAGGAAAAGAGGGAATTGGAAGGTGCTCGGGGAGACCGTCAGCAGCCCAGAACTCCACGTCGTCGTCGGCACCGGTAGCGG